GTTTTTTGTGTTGGCTTAAAAACGGATTTTGAAATTCCATTTTTATTACTTTATTTTTTTTTCCAAAAAACCAGTAATAATACACTTAACACATATTATAGATTACAGTTATCACACAAACAAAACCAAACATCCTACTAAGATAACAATAATACATCCAAATAAAAACCAAATTGATCATCCAAATATATCTATTACACAAACAGAATCAAACATCCTACTAAGATAACAATAATACATCCAAACAGAACCAAACATGCTAAATTGATCAACACAACGGAGGGATTCAGTCCTCTTCAACATTTTCGAAATCATCTGCGTTCCAGTTGACTTCCAATCTAGTCCGATCAGCTATGCAGTGCGAACGATGACATTCCCTTGTTAAATGATCTCGACTGCCACATCTCCTACATTTTCTGCGTCCACCCCTGCCCATATAATCCATTGACATCAAGAATCGCCGCTGTTGTTGACGACCTACAACATTATACAAAACTAGATTGACATAATCAGGAAAAAGGTTCCACCCTGGAGACACCCACTCTTCTTTTCTTGGGACGGGAACAAACCTAGAATGACGAAACTGCTCACGCCATGTTCTCGTCTTATAATATTCATGTATTATGTTTTCTGGGTGATCACCGATCTACCGACATACAGCCAATGAGTGCGTATAAGGATGCCTGTAAGTCTGCCACTTCTTGCATGAACAACGCCAATCCTTGTATTCTACTTTGTGTTCATTTCCACCTTTCCCTATACGACGCCAACCTGTAATGACCCCATACACTTGGTTCTGGAAATCGTACTGCTCCACTTTGTGAGTTGCTGCTGTATTCTCATACTTACAGAATTTCTTCCAATACTTATCTCCGATAGGAGTATTGCACTTTAAGGTATCTGCATACTGATCATGGAAGAACTTAATTGTCTTCGCCAAAATCGATTCCACCACAGCTCTAATTGGTAAAAATTGAACACTCTTCAGAACATTGTTGTAACTCTCATATATATTTGTTGTCAACATGTCCCAACGTGCATAATCTTGATCGTAGGCAATACTCCACCTCTCCCTCGGAATAGCCATCATATAAGCAAGACCTGCTTCATTGCACTCTCTCAGTTGTTGCTGAAATTTTAGAAATTTATGATTTTGCCGCTTCTTGCCCATTTTCCAGCACACCAGATTGGTTTGCGCAATTTGTTTTTTGTGTTTTGCCACCATGTGGCTCCGAACATGTCGAAGACAATACCTGTGGTATCCAAAATATGGTTCAACCCACAAATCGACATTATTTTTCAGTCCACTGATTATCCCCTTATGCCATCTGATATAAGACACGTGATTCTGTCGTGTACAACATGAAACCTCAAATTACAGAGAAAAAATGACCAGCTATCCTCGCTCTCCTCATCTGCAATTGCTAAAGCAATAGGCAGGATATGGTTGTTAGCAGTTTTCACCATTGCTACAAGAAGCTTACCCTTGTACTGACCATGAAGGTGTGTGCCATTAATACTCACAACAGGTTGACACATATGAAATGTCGCAATGGAAGGACCAAATGCCCAGAAAACATATTTGAAGACCCGATGTTCATCATTCTCAGTCCCGGGCTGCCATTTCCACTCAATAACTGTGTTGGGATTAGACTTCTGTAGTGCAGCCATATACCTATCATAAATACAAAACAGTCCAATAAACAGTCCAGTAATTCTTAATATCGTAAATAATAACTTTTAAAATTTTACCAGGGCAATTCGATGAAATTATCGATCCAACTACCATAACACACTTCGATAGCTTTTCTTCTTGCATGCCATGCCTTCTTGTACTTCACATCCCCCTTATAAGCTTCCTTCACAACATCTCTGATTGATTTCACCTTAAAACCAGGATCATTTTCAACACTACGCCTGATAAGTTTGGCTATTAACTTCGACCTCAAATTGCAATGGTCATTTTGTCTGGTTATTCCAACGCAATTGTTACGATCAACCCAGGACACAATTTGCCACAGACCATTCTGCTTCAAAGATGCACGCATCCTCCACGCACAAGTAGATTGCCCAATTGGAGTTTGCATTGTTCTTGTCACGCACTCTGCAGCCCATGACTTACCGCCAGAAGCATTCACATAAAATTGCCTGTTGTGATGTATATTTCAGTGTTCGATAGCTGCCTCAACTTCATCTCTGTTGTTGAAACAGGTATTCAAATCAAGGTTTTCTCTATCACCTTTCCACATCTTAACTTCAAATTCATCTCGGTCCAGTATGCTATTTTTATAATCACCAATGTCTGAATAAACATGCCGAGCAAAACCAGACGTGACTAACTTCTGCACTGCTTCTGCTTCTTGTTCTTCTTCTTCTAAGTCGGTTTCGTCTGACATACCAGTTTGGTAGTCAACTTCTTCTCCGCTTTCTACATAAGTCCCGTCTGATGCATCATCCTTATCTGATGAATCAAAGTCATCATTTTGCCCCCACCATGTCCTTCAGCAACGTATTCATCGCCGCTGCTCCTGCTAGGCCCTGCTTCTACATGTTGAGAATTATTCATCCAGTATTGCTAGTGCTGTTGCGACCCAAATGTGCTAGGCCCTACTTCTGCATGTTGAGAATTATTCATCCAATATTGCTGGTGCTGTTGCGACCCAATTGTAACATCCTGTTTTTGTCCAAACAGATCTAACAAATTTTGGGCATGCACTGTGTCTTCATTTTCAACATACAGCTCCAAATATGATGAACCTGAAAAATAATAAATAATTTCCACCGACGAGTCGAGTCGTCCGTAATTGTTGCGCTTCGTCTTACACCCTTGTGTTCAAACAACAAATTAATTCTCAGATTTACATAATTTCTGTCTCAACCCGCTTTATCACAAATTCTGCCAAAAAACTCAGAATACGACATCTTGCGTCAATAACTAATGTCGCATCTGCCCTGTTATCAAATATTCTGATCGTGCCATCCTCCACAATATATTTATTTTTTCAGTACACATTAATAAAATATGGACTATTTCATGCTATTTTTTCTGTCATAAATATAATATTTCTTAAAAAAACAGTCTAAATTTGTATAAACAGTACAATAATTTTCAAATAATACCGTATAGATTTTCATAAATAGTCCAACATTTAAAAAATAGTACAATAATTTTCAAATAAAACAGTCCATATTTGCATAAACAGTCCAGCATTGTTTCCAACAGTCCAGTAATTTCCGAATACAACAGTTCAGATTTTCATAAACAGTCCAGCATTTAAAAAACAATCCAGATTTGCATAAGTAGTCTATCATTTAAAAAAATAGTCCAATATTTTCCTAATAAAACAGTCCATATTTCTATAAACAGTCTAATGTTTCAAAAAACAGTTTAAATTTTCTAATAAAACAGTCTAGATTGAATTTCCTAATAAATTCAATATTTTTATACTGAATATTCTAATTCAAATTTAATAAGACCAATAATTAATTAATTTAATACAATACGATTAAAGGAAACAAATAACATCAACGCAATACTAAACTTGACAATAACAATTTTTAGGCGTAAAAAATATGTTCAAACTGGAGACCTCTTCATATTTTTTTCTTCCCATTCAAAACTTTCAAGATCTGTTAACAGTATCAATTCTTCTTCATATATAAACCTAAAAACAGATTTTACAATTCCGTTTTTATGATTAAAACCTGTGACGGCAGTGCTTCGTACAGATTATCAATGTAGACCAATAATACATCTGATAACCTGATAAAAGAAAAACGGAATTCTGTTTTCCGTTTTTGGGTTGACAAGAAAAACGGAATTCTGTTTTCTGTGTTTGGGTTGATTAGAAAACAAAAATCCAATTTCCGTTTTACGTTTTTTCTAATATTTCTTATCCTTTTATTTTGAGCGAAATTGTTTTTTTTTTTCAATTTTTAAACATTAAACAACGAAAACGGATATTAAAATTCCATTTTTTAAATTATAGTTAAAAAACCGGAAAACACATTTCCGACACATATTTTCAGGACCACAAAAAAATAATTAAAATAAAAATTTCTTCTCCTTTTTTCTGGGGTCTATTTAGGGAAATGACCCGAAGAATAACCTTTACATCACATAAGATCCTAAGAACATGAGAAGGAAAAACCCTTAAATTTGGGGAGGATTGACAGCAAACGATAGACCATAAACGGGGATATTGTTTTTGTCCAAAATGAATTTGCAGCCCCAATTGTAAAACACAAAACATTGAACCTTCTCCCAAGACATCTTCTTCCCTTTTTTTTTGGCGAATTAACCATAAATATACCAATTTTCCATCATAAAGTCAGACTACAAAAAGGCTATAAAGCATCCACCCATCCATCTTCTTACACAACAAAGCAGTTTAATAAGAAGGGGAAAAAAAAACAAGAAGAAGAAGATTTGAGCAACTGTTAGAATAGAATCATCGGTGTTGGAGATTGGGAGCGCAACAAATCCAAATCGGAAGGAGCAGATTCGTGAAACAGGGAGGAACTTTTCAGATCAGTAATCGTGATTGGGTAAATAGAACATCAATCCTCCTTTTTGAACATCAATCCTCCAGCGACAAAAAAGAGGAATTGGAATTACAGGCGGCAGCGGCGGCTCGTGGGAGGTTGGCTGCATAATAATTCAGATTGGATTAACTAGTCAGTTTCTTATTTAACTGTAAATTGTTCTAAGGGTAATTGAGTCATTTTATTCGAATTTAATTTTGACTTTTTGAAACTGGAATTCTTTTTTGGGACAAAATTTTTTATTAAACTGTACTATTTTTGTGGGAGGGAATATGATATGATGATCAATAAACTACCGGAAACTACAAGAAAACATGTGTAAAAGATTTCAATGTTGTTTTGAAAAAAAATATTTTGAACTATATTTTGAAATATCAAGTACAAGTCATCACTAAACAATTATAGTCACTGTAAAAAAGAATTTTTCCAAAAACAATCGCTCAACAACAAAATCCTGCCAATTTGTCACTGAACAATTTATAGTTCTAAAATGGTCATTCCACTAACAAAAAGTGTTTCAAGTTGAAATTTAAAATATAAATCAGAAAGTTGTTTGGATGATGTTTTCTTTTTCATTAGATTTTGTATTTAAGAGGTAAAATAAGTGAAAATGTAAACTGAGTTAGATGTCCAAACAACCTTCCTCGCTCAAAACAAAGAGTCGATTACAGATATCATGTGATTAAACCATTCGCCTCCCACTGTAAGAAAAAAAAAAAAAAAAACCCATTTGCAAAAAATCTTTCTTACAAGAGATCATCAATTTGCATGGCTTCCCGTACATTCACTACCTCTACCCAGATTCCTAAAACTCTGGGGCATCTAAAAGCCGAGATTGTGTCAGTGTCTCCATCTATACACCAGTTATTGTGTTGTAAAAGCAAAAAGTATCTGTACATTTTTTTTAAAAAAGAGTATCTGTACCCTAATGAATCCCAGTATCCCAGTCTGGCATCCGAAGAAAATCTCAGGTACGATTGGACAGCTGCGCGGGCTTTGGCATGATGATAGCCAGCCGTAGTTTACCCAGCTGACAAAGTTTCACTGGATTTTTATATACAGTGATCCTAACTGAGCTATCATCCAAGAAAATAACATGGGCGATACTGAAAGATTCACCTTTCTCGCATCCGAATTGCCACTCTCTTGCAGATATGAAAGCCAAATCCCTTGTGGCAGATTTGGATCTAGTTGCTTTAACTTCGATATATTCCATCTGTTCCTCCTGTCCTATGAGAATGTCGTAAGGTAGGCCAGTCTCTGTCACCTCATTCACCCATTTCACGGACGTCTCACCAGCTTTTCCCTGGAAATATTTGTAAGCTGCGAATTCTCCCATTCTTCCTGTCAATTGTGCCTGTGCACTCACGGCACCCCCAAGTGTTGGATTTCCTACTCTAGAATCAGAGAAAGAGAGATTTAAACCACCAGGTGCAGCCACAGGGTCCACAGAATCATATGCTGCATTTAAGCTGTCAGCAACCAAATCATTTGCGAAACCTGTTTGGTCCACAGAAACTATGGCATCTTGTACACTCCAGTTAGAGTGCATATTGACCAGAGGCAAGAAATCCTCGGGTCCTTTACTTTGTTTTACGGCCTCAGCTTCGGTGATATCACATGCTTCCGTTAACAGAGCATTTGCACGAGAAAATTCAAGACCCGAAGTACTTCCCCAATCTGCAGTATTTGGTACAGAGAACTCTTCACCATCTTCCCCATCAGAGCTTTGAGAGATATCATACACCTGACTTTTTGAAACAAATTTGGAAGCAAAACCAAAACCAGGAGCAGTTTTCCAATCAACGGGAGGCCAACTTGAGCTTATACCAGGCATCTTCTTACTCTTCTTCAAAGTATTCGGTTCATCTATTGTTGTTGCAACACAACTAGCAGTCTCCAGCTCATGATGCTCTACTACTGGCTGAGGGGAGAGTGACCAAACAGATTCTCCATCAGGAAGTTTTGGCACCTTCTGGCTATTTAAAACGAAAAATTCAGTCTGCTCCTGAGATGAACCTGCTTCCACCATGGTTGTAATCATATGAAGGAAATTAGCCAAGTGCAGTTCCGGGACACCATCAAAAAAGGCACGCGAAAGCTCCATAAAAATAGAGTGACAATCTGATTGTTGAGTAGCGTACAAAATGTTGCCCTGCATAAGCATTGACAAGCTTAGATGTGCAAATAAGTAAATCGAGTATTCACATCATGAAAGATAAATTTTATATACTCTGCAAAAAGATATCGGCATCGTCATTGTGTTGAGAACCTCACCAAAATTCAAACAAAGTTCAATCACATCAAAGTTTAACAAACAAATATCCAGATCACCCAAAGAAAAACTAATCCATCCTTCAATATAGGTTTACTCTCCATACATAGCGTGGAAGAATGTTAGCATATCTTAGGAGACTACTCATAAGTATAGGTACCTGTAATAAAGAACTGCACTCGAATCGCTTCTGAGATGCACTACCGCATGTCTTGATAGCATTTTTGTAGAACAGCTTTTCTACCACAACAATTCGAATCCCTCTAACACTCTCTAATCCAGATTGTTTCAACTGAAGATACTTATCAGGATGCAAATGAAAGATATACCGCTGAGCGTAAGGAAGAGCCCAGTTGACAACAGAGGTTTTGAAGCTAGCATCTGTAGGACCATAGTAGATGGCTTGACGAATAACAACCTGGAAGCAAGCAGGCAAAGCAAAAACATTTACAAAAGGACAACAAACTTGGCATAAATTTCCCATGAATAAAGTAAAAATGAATCAACAGCCAGAGAATAGTTTGGCTACATTTTTTAGAGAAGATTATTTTTTAAATTACCACAAGCATATATCAGATCTTAGTATGAAAGAAACAGTAAGTAGTGATTCCATAACTGCCCGAGCATCACTCAAATGTTTCTTCTAATATTCTTCAGTTATGCAAATTTATTGCAGAAGACTATCCTATGCATGTGTACTGAAATAAAGTAAATAATAAAATGTATAACAACTAAGCAATGTGAAACCACTCATGCTGCACGTCAAATGAGTCTAAATTGTTCTATCACTTTATCCTACAGATTAACCAGACTTCTTAGAAGCTTGCAGTCTTGAAAGATAAAGTTAAAAAATTTGTCTGGAAGAAGTTTATCACAGCCAATTAGTTCATACATAAAGAGAAGAAAAGAGAAGATATTCAGAAATCACATCAAAATCTATGCGTGAATATGGAAGAAAATTACGCTTGAAAGAGCCGGAACCCCTAGTCTTCTCATGAGGGTTGCAACGTCAGAGTGAACGAACTGTTTCTCTTCATTAAACAAATCAGTGAAGTAGAGAAGGTCAACACCGTCAACATTTTTGAATTCACGCCGTAGCTCGTAATCATCTGACCAACATACAAGCCCAAAAGAAGGGTGCAGCGAAACCCATTTATCTTGCACGGTGGGGAGCACCGTACAATCCTTTTCATTGAACCTCTCCCGTAAGAACTCAATGGCTTCATCATTCAGTGAACCACTTTTCAGTTGGTCAGCCCACTTTGAGAAAACGTTGAAAACCTGGATTAAAAAGAGTTTAATAAAAAATAATCTCCATCGAACTAGAGTGTAAAATTGAGGGAGGTATATGTTGTAAGGAACTTACTGTCTTAGCAACCTGTGAAGGCAGTGCAATTTTTGACAAATGTATCAATATCTGAAGGTAACCATCCACACTAGGCAGCTCTTCAACTCCACATTCACACACAAAGAAGTCATGAAGTGTAGGATAGAAACTCTGTAAAATCCTCCCAGAGAAAAGATGAGTCATTTTTAAGGCACATTTTGCGTCGAGCAATTTCATTTGGTCCATGGAACCAGTTGTGTCATGCCAAAAGACTTCTTTTGTTGACAAAAATGAACCAGTCTCAATATTCTCAGGTGAGGAGCTCGGTATGTGAGGGATAAAAATAAAAGCCCTCGAAGAAATTTCATCCAAGATTCTTGCCTTTGACGTAGCCATTTCATTCCATATAAAGGTGTAAAATTTTGACATCTGTGATATGCTGGGGAAAAAGATTAAGATCAACATGTTAATAAAAAGCTCCAAGAATGAATGAAGTTTGTGACAGATGGTGCAACAAACTAGAGAATCCAATTTGAATAACAGTCTGATATAAATGAAACAGAGCAATCATATCAAAACTAGTACTTAATCGAAAATGATAATACTCGGTTGTTTTAACACCATCTAATAAAACAGAATGTTTATGACTAATTTTTACTCTCTAACTTTTTTTTAAGGAGAATTATCTTCCAAAGGAGTGAGAAACCCCCAAAAAAAAAAAAGAAAAGAAAAAGAATAACATTAGAAACAAGATTGACAAAAAATTTGCAGATCTTTTTTCCCCCATTCCAAGGGGCCCCATCACAAACATAGTGATGCCTATTGACAACATTTATAGGAACAACAGCAGAGCATATTTATTTCTCAGCAACATTGCAGAACTTTCACAATTCTTTCAGTTAAATCAAAATGTTACCTTGCTTTGAAAGGCTTCTCTGTCCTTCTCCAGACTTCAAGAATTGACAAAACGTCATCTAGTCTAACTCGAGACTTTACACCAAGGACCTCAAGCAGCTTTTGACTTCTCACCTGCTCCAGAAAATGTCAAAAGGAGCTCATAATTAAAGCAACAGAAAATTACTAATACAGCAAAGCAAAATGATATCAGAACTCCAATCAATGCTGTTCAAATCTGCTTTAGCTCCTACGTTTAATGAGATTTCTTGTACTATAACCTCTCTCTCTCTCTCTCTGTGTGTGTGTATATATATATATTGTATCTAACTTTCAAGTGACAAACACAACTGCTGATACATATCCATATAGTCACAACCAAGCCTATTTATCCAGATAATGACAAATAAACCTTTATCTTACTTGGGGTGGGCTCTAACTGTTTATCCAAAACAACAGGCATCATCATTTTTAAGTGTCTAGCCATACATTAGCGGAAAATGAAAATCAAGAAAAATGTTTGTATCGGAAACAAAGCCAATATAAACACAGAAATTGGCTGCTAAAACAAAAAGGAAAGAAAGCAAGGAAAAGTGGAAAACAGAGGACACTGAAGCTCGGATACTGACTAATTAATAGTAAAATAGCATGCTCCCAATATCCCCCCCGAAAGCCATAAAAATGTAAGTAACCGAGAAAATCATGCAGCAAAAGATATAACCAGATTCCCATCATTTCATACAAATAGGAAATGCACTGAAAGCCAAGGTATCAATTTAAGTTCTATGAGTTTCCATTTTAAAAAATAACCTTACCACTAAGCAAGTCATTATCAGTAAATGATTAGATTCCAGGGAAAACAAGCAATTACCAAGGCAGTTTTTCATTTACAATGTGTAAATGAATGTATTACCAGCTAGACTTTGCAGCATTTTTCTGGGTGAGCTAACAACCTCATGACCAGCTAAATGTGCTAACAACTCGATATATTGTTTCACTTATTCATAATGGCTCATTCCACACTGAATACAATGGGAAGCATAAGATTTCATCCACACTCAGTATTTTTTATTCTTTATTTTGTTTACTTTTAACTCTAGGGTGTAGGCATGAGGAAGGTGAGAAAACTTTTTGTAATTACAAACCTTTGGTGTAGCATAAGGCGCGGTAACACCAAGAATAGACCGCACTGGTTCACAATCATGGAACAGATCTTTAGGATAATGAAGCTTGTCATCCATTGATGATGCCATCCACTTGACATTTCCAAGAGTTGTGATAAATGATGACCGGAATGGTTTTCCCAGTTCACAAGAATCAGTCGCGTAACAACCAAATACTTTATCACTGAAACAATCATCCCATAATGTATCCAGAACCTCCAGCAAATACTTGCACCTTTTACGGTCACCTCCAGAAATTAATTCTGACAATAATGTGCCCAATTCCCCGGAATCCCAGTCCTTGACAATTGTCCGAATTGAACTCTCTCCATCAAGCATCATATTCTTCATAACAGAATCTGACACATCCTCAATACATTTCTCAACTTGAACTACTTTCACAAAGTCAGTGACACCTAATTCCTGAAAAAAGTTTCTCCACTTCAACCTTGCATCTGGAATCAATTTTGTTATTGGATGTTGCAGGTAGATACTATCAATCTCGTGCCACAATATGCTTGTATCGCTGATTAAGCGGCTGATGTCAACTGGATTCCCGTATTCTACACTGAAATGGATTGGTACATTGTTAAGTCTCTTGTAGCCATAATTGGTGAGAATTTGAGATTTACTACGCAACTGTTCCATAATCCAGCCCCTCTCCTTGCAACAGTCCGGGCAACTAGATTGTAGATGTAACATTAGAAATGCTAGGTACTCTGTCAATAAATCCTTGTTCTCTTGGGTGCCTATGTCACCAGAAATAGCTGGCAAGATATGCATTTTCACAATTTCATGGGCAGACAACCGCTGGACGCCAACTCTCATAAGCATTCTCGAAATATTTTCTGCAATGGATGTGCCCAAAAATACTTTGTCAAAAACTGGTATGGCAGAAAAAAGGGCTGGGTTCACTGTTTGAAGCTTAGCATACAATTTAGAGAATATGTCTAAGCTATATTCATCCTCAACCCCCTTTTCACTAATGTGCAACCAAATTGTACATCTCTCCACAGAGCAAAACTTTCCATCAGAAAGAGGAATAAATGGAATCTTTCTGAGTTTTGCAATCAGATCAGATTCATTATCCCAATTGAGCGTCAACAAATAGATCTCATTTATCCATGTTGCTAACCAACCAAAGCCCATGCCTCTTAGACAATTCTCGGAGCGTGACAAAGATGACATCACATTTAGTAGAGTTTTAGGTCCATACTCCTCTACACCCAAGGCCCTTGCCAGTGGATCAGACAAAACTATATCCTTCCTCAAAAATCCCATGCCAAGGTGCTCAACAAGGAACCTATCTGGGAAAAGAGCACGAGCTCGTTCATCCCAGTTTCTTATAGTTTTACAGGGGAGCACCCACTCCATGTTATCCGCTTCCAAAAGCAGACACTTTGACATGCGCAATTTTGAGATAATCATCCGTGGTAGACTGGAAAAAAAACCATGCACCTCTCCAACGAGGGGGACAAAACTAAGAAACACTGTAACAGCTCTTGCAGGGTTTTCCCTAAAACAAGGAAGATTAGAAAAGGATTGCTGTGCATTAACAAATACCTCCGGAAACTCTGCTAGTATCCACTGGTTCCAGGGGCTATTCCCATCAACTTCTTCTCTAGACGAAGGCAGCACAAAGTCACCTTGAAGAATAAACTTCAAACCATAAGTTCTTAGAGGAAGAAATGCAAAAACAGGCTGTTGCTTAAGCAATGGAGCATAACTTCCTTCGCCAGTTTCTTCCAACGTAAATGCAAGGGAGATCTCAGTTTCCTTTGCATCTGGGCGAATAGCACTAGCCTGCAATATCTTAGATACTACAAGCCATGCCATTTTTTCTTTCCCAAATGATACACGAACAATACCGTCAGCCAAAACTTCTTTTCTCATCACTATCGTTGTATTATCAATCATATTCCTTAATTTGATGCACTGAAGACGGTGGAGAAAGAGTAACAAAGAAGGGTGAAGATCTGAAAACATTGACACGATGTTGTTCATGGCAAAACCTTCACAGGACTTTCCCTTAAAAGGAAGCACAATGCAAGTTTTCCAATCATCAACGCCACTTTTATCACTATCCGCGATGCTATATAAGTCAATGTCACAAGGAGGAACTACAGTTGGCAAAACAAACCCAATCTGGCCTTCAGTTATGTCAAACTTGATATGAAAACCATTCGAATGAATTTCTGGAGCATCAGTGACCTGCAAGCATTCAGATTATCAAAAAGATTGACATAGAAAATGTATCTATAAAAACAGCATTAAAAGCTTGTAAGTCTCAATGTTCAAACAAGAAAATGCACTAAGATATTATTATATTAATCACTCAATCCACAAGCTGATAAAAAAAATAATAATAAGAGGTGAAAAATAAACTGTTTACAATACATAGCGTCAATGAACACGTGTCCAACAATTAACTCTAAAGATGGTAAGAGAAAAAGAGCCAAGATATATCAATGAAGAAGCATCGCATGACACACTGGGGCAATCTGCCACTGACACTGAAATATTTTGCTATGGGATTGTTTCAAAATTTCTTATACATACAAGGCAAAGCTTGAACTGAGGGGTATTCTGGCAATTTCAGAAGTAAGAAAGTTGCCAGTTCAATTTGCATTCCATGATTTTATTTTATGGAATTCAGGATGATACATGACAGAATGTATAAGCACATAATTAAGCACAATACCCGGAAAACTGATTTAAAACCAATGCCTTTCTTTCCAATATATCCAGCATTCAAGTCCTTTTTTGTTGAGCTCCCAACATCACAAAGGGCCCTAATGTTTTCTGCTGAGAAGCCAATCTCATTATTCAAGACAATAATGCCTTTTTCTTGAAGAATGAACATAAGAGATGGTTCCACATTTCGAGGATACAAATTGTCATCGGCATTTTGAACCTGGAGCAATTTTTCATGGAAAGATGTACATCAGAATCAACATGGATCAGGGAAAATGTTATGTTACAACCCAAAAATAAATTTAAAAAAAAAATGCTCAAATTTTTTAATCAAAAGGATCCTAAACCTAATTAAAAGAACACTAATCAAATTCAAGGCTTATCAGACATGGTGTGTTTGTAGAGTAAGAATGATGTCTCATATTTTGATGTGAATTGATTACTTTCCCAGCATTTCTTATTTTCAGTCAACATTAGTTAAGAAAAGAAATTCATCAATTATGAGAATATATGATATACCGTACTAGAAGATCACCACATGTCAAGTTCATAAACTGAATTAGTGAGAAACATAGGTGAACAGATTCGTTCCTTTGACAAAATAAATCAAGCGATCAAGCAGAAGACTGATAGTAACACAAAAAGATGTCGATTCTTTTAGTAATACAAATACACCATAAGTGCTTTAGAAGCTCTGCATAGCTACAGTTTTGAACAGTCACGGTAACCAAAGGTAGCAATTCCATAAGTCATGACAATTCTAATAGTTTTCCTGAGGATCACTTATGCAACATACAAATTAGGGTCGCCCTATCCACTGCAATAAGATGACGGGCTGATGAAACCTTCTCAAGACACTTTTTGCTAATGGGGGTAACTCACTGACAGAAATTTTCCTTAGATTGTGAATCAGTTAAAGCCATGTGAAACAAAAATGCGAGCAAAACACTTTCAAAACAAGATGAGAACAATGACAACCTTAAGATAAATGACCAGAGAACTAGAGAAAGTAACAGGAAAAGGTTCATGATTGTAATCAAGTAAAAAAACACAATGATCATGAATTACCAGCTCCAGAAGAAAATGTGAATCCTGGGAGTATAACTCCTGAGAAAGACAATGTAGTGCTCTCCCTAAACGAGTATGCTGCTTCATCAACAATTTATTTTCTGCAGGTGACAGAGTTGAATCCAGACCAAATTCATCTCGCCTGATAGCTTCGATGACCTCGATAGGATTATTAATTAGACCCGGTTGGCACAATTTTGGTTCCAAATCCTCAGAAGAACCATAGGCTGAAACCTCAACAATTTCCTGCGAAGGGTTTTCCTCTTTCTGGTATTCGTTTTGATCTGTCTTCATAGGGGTTCTCACACTGACTCCAGCAGGGAGAACATTTACCAGTTCACAGGGAATGACTTCTGCACCCCTATCTAACTCAAAATCTGCACCTTCTGAGCAGGATACAGTGTCGATCAATGAAGAGGAGCTGAAAACACGATAATCACTAATCCACTCCAATATACCAAGTGAAAATCCAACCTGGTGAAGCATAACACGCTCCTCTGCTTTTTTGCATTCCCTCAAGATGGCTGAAGGAGCATCTTTAATCACTGCTTGCAGTCCAGAAAGAAGCACTGAAGCAGCGAAAGTGCAAAATTCGGAAGGCAGATGATTCAAACAATCAAGAAAGAATCTTGAGGAAATATGATCAGCTTCATTTACACCACTTTGACATAAATTATCACTTGAACTTTTAAGGTTGCAGCTTTCCAAGGCATCTTCACTAGGCATTGGGACTACATTCCTGGAGTCCAGTGCGCAAAAACGTTTCTTTTCCATAGATTGGTCAATAAAAATTTTTAAGGCTTTCTGAGCATGAGACTTAAGCAATGATAAAGGAAGATTCTTTTGACCTCCATATATAGCTAACAGGGACAAGAGTTTCACTGCAGTTCTGAAAGCAGACCCTCGAAGTAAAGCTTCAAAAAATGATTCCACAGTGGCTAAATGATCAAGTCGAACAATTGTACCGCCCTTGGTAACCAAACACAATAGTTCTTTTGCATTTACCTCATTCAACAACCATTCCAAGAGTGGACCAAGAGAAGGCGCAAATATAAGGTCCCAATGTGCCCAGTGATAGAGATCGGTCAACATTGGAGCTCTAAGGAAGACTTCAATGGCGTCCTTACTTGTAACAGGCCCTAGAACACCAGCACTATGATCAACAACCACTTCCAGTCCAGCCAAATCAGACATAAAACTCTCACAGATATCATTTGAGCCTCCAGCGGAAGATTTTGAGAACAAAGTTGCAGAGAATAGGACAATGTCAGAGTAAATTTTGCCTTCATATGCTCTTAATCTATCCTGAAAATCTAAGAAGGAATCCGTTTCCAAGGATTTCAAACAGACTGAAGGATATTGCATTTCTAGCAACTCCAATACCAATTTTTTGTTTATTTTTTCATTCTGGCAAATGCCACTTGAAACTTGAGACAAGAACACATCCAACTGAAGTGGAAGCATACAAACCTCAAGGGAACTATTTTCAGGCGCTTCATGAATCAAATATTTTTTCAAGCCACTCGGTAATAGGTGCAAATATCTCTCCAAGAACATAAAAAAATCTCCATACCCCAAACATTCAAAATCTTTGATACGCAACGTCTCGATTAGCCAAGATTCACAGCTGTGAAGCTTCCTTAGAAAAGAAATTTTCATTTCTTTTGTTAGATTTGCATTGTCCATAAAACTTTCATCAGCACAAAAATACGAGGAAATGTGCTTGATGATATCATCCGAAGAAAAGCCTGCACAAGATAAACCCAATCAAACGAGGTACAATCAGGCCAAGAGCTAAGGACGGAGGGAAGGTATAGAAAGCAAAAGCACAAGGCTTTACTTGAGAAAGCCACCAAAATCAAAATAGAATTCAGAAGGTTAGAAAGAATTTGCACTTTCAGTAGCTGAAAATTATATTCACAGTACATTCCGGTTCTGGGGGTGATAAATGCACATGACACACATAATGAACAAGTCTCCAATAATTTACATAAGGTCAGGAAAACATCATGGAATTTAACAAGTTGTTTTTTATTTGCAACTTGAGCTTTTTCCAAATCGATCCACTTTTGAAGACACAAATCATAAAGAAAATATTTCTTTTGCCCTACATCACATAACAACAAAACTGAAAAATTCAGCTTCCTATGATGGCCAATGCACCCAAGGCAATGATTTTGTTTCCAACCTTTTATGCAATCTGTGATGGTGAACCGATAGTTACAGTAAGTCAACAAGAACATTTGAAGTAAATTATACTTTATCCAACTACAGTTTTTCTAGAAGGTAATTTCTTCAAACCAACAGAGTACACAAATCCGGCAAGAAAGGACTACATATTCCTTACAGTAAAAATAGTGCCTTTTCCCTTGAGATTCTCGCTGATTGTATAATGTGGTGATAGAAAATATATATATTTTCCAACTCAGTCATGGCAATATGATGGATTAAACGGTCAACATTTTTGGTTCTAAAGAAGAGAACAAAAATTTTGATGTATGCAAAGTGAAAAGGAAGTGTATGAAACTCACCACGCTCATGCTCGCAAGTTTTCTCAGCGGGAACCGGGGCATTATTTTCATCAGAGTCAACTTCTATGCATATAAACTCCGGCTTTTTATCAGCGGCGATGTTTGGTTGGATTTCTTGCCTTAAGATTTGGAAAGTATCATACATACTGTCCCACATGCCATACTTAATAGATTGTACCTGTGAAACCCCATCAAAATTAAGCACTGATTCAGCAACCTTCCAAACAAACCAAAAACAAACAAACAAACAGGAGAAAATTCATTTTTCACTCTGTATTATGGATTTCTAAAATTGTGCGGCAAATACGACAGCGATTCCTGATCACTTTCATTTTCTTCAAAGTACGTCACCAATGCACCCAAACACGTTTCTTTCGAGTTCACAAAACTAAGTATCTAACATGGACCCAAGGGGTAATACCCCAAAAAAAATTTCTGCGCAAATAGAATCCATTACTTAACACAAGACCAGTATATCAAACAGAAGATTTTGCATAAGAACCAAGTAATAGTCTCAAAAAACGGGGAAAAAAAAAATCTTCAATCCATATAAATTTGCGACCTTACCAATCATAAGATAAAAATCACATTCATAATAGCCTTAACGGATTCTAACAAAACACTGCACAAAAGATTAAAACTAACGAAGAGACTTAGATTGTCAGGATTTAATAAAGGATACTATTTAACAGAAATTAAAGTATGTGGATCAAAAAGTAGGACATGAACAGTACTATCTCCAGCAATTTCCAATATACACACACAAGCAGAGATGGGGTTGAGAAAATGGTGAAGAGAAATTACACCGAGGAAGCAGAGAATAGGAAAAGATAGGAAACATACGGCAACATCAAGTAACCCAACAACTGGATATGAAGACAACCACCGTTTCAACCTCTTTTTCTTCTTTGCATTCCAGAGATCAACCATCCTGCTGATTACCTACAAGATACGAAGAAAGAAAAGGAACCAGCATTTAATTGAGAAACTGCAAGAAAATGCATGGACTTCAAATGGTTCAAACAATTTCAATAGTAGCCAGACCAGAGTATGCCCTGTTTTGATATGCTAAGCTACCTACAAACAAAAAAGTTACACAGCTGCAATACAAATTATAAAAAAAACATATATATGGAGATGACTTTGACAACATTTAGTCAATTATAAGTGAATCACCTATTTGATCCTAAGACAGCAATCACAAAGAAAATTAATGGAAAATATAATTTTAAGCAACCTAAGCACAAGCTCTAGCTTACAATACAAACCCTGGAAAAGATATAAATCAAAACCTAATGAAATCGTAGCTGAGATCCCACAATAAAGTATTCAAATAAAACCTGTCTTTTTTCTTTTTTGTTTTTTTTTTCCGGCGGAATTAACAAACATAAATTAAGAGGAAAATCAACCACTAAATTTAGGATTCAGAGACAGGTAAGACCATGACTCCAAGAAACAAAGTAGAAATCATTCAAAAAAATTGACTCTTTAGCAAACTTGCATATGGAGTATTTAAAAGAAAGAGGCAGGGGGGGAGTGTAGAAAAACATAGCACCTCGTCTAACGAACTATCTCGACATGTCTCCATCCAAGTTGTAAGGAAAGTCCTCGTAGATTCACTGACAACTGGAAGATCACTGCTTTTATTGAAGGATATGTCTTTTTTCTCAACCACACGAACATGTCCTTCATCATGGTCTTTTTTGGGCAGTTTCCTTGGCTGAGAAGTCGAACCAGTAAAGACACTGAATACCCTCTTCCGCTTTCCTCTTTTTTTAATCCTTTTTACATTGGTGCTTTCATTGTCAGGATTGTGACCCACCTGGGATTTCAATCCGAGGCGATTCATCTCTTCAGATACAGAAGGATACGGACAGCTACTAACTCGGTCCGAATTTTTAAGGTCTTGAGACACCGAATTTGGGTCTGTCATGATGCCATTTCCATTCTGTGAGCTTTTATTAGCATCCATACCATCCTCACTGTTTTCATCATCCACACATTCATAATCGTCATCTGAATTTGATGAGAACTTTGTGTGTTTTCCACAAAAAGTTCCATTCATGGAGGAAAGGGATTTGATGTGCTCAGATATGCCCTTGAATCGTTCATCCAGCTTTTCTTTTTGCAACGACAAGAGAGGGCGCTTCCTGATCACACCAAATCTCTTTTTCAGATTTTTTATGTAAGTCCTCATGTTTACGAGTTCGGCTCGTGCTACATTTCGGAGAAGACTAATGTGCCACCTGTCAAAATATTTAAAACACTTAAGGATAACATTCAGTATACTTAAAATGAAACGATATTCCAGAGTAATCTAATAACATCAATTGATGACACACACCAATAAGAAATGGGGCTTTGAAGATTTGCAACAATTTCACAGAGTCAAGATAACCAAACTTTCAGCAAAGAATCATCATATAGAGAAAACATAAACTCGCAAACTCATGCCTGTGTGTGTGCGCGCGTGCGTGAGAGACAAAGTGTGTAGCCAGAACAATCGAAGATGGTAAACGTAAATGTCATCCTCCTTTCTTAATTACTTTCAAAGTAACAATTTAATTATCCTGGCAAAACATTGGTATGTTTTCAAATGCATGGCTCATAATTTGAATACGGCCAGTCAGTATGTAAAATTCACAGACGTCTATGGTTTTCTCATTTGATAGATCCCATAGCCTGTGCATCTTCTGCTCCTGTATAACAAAAAGTCTTGTTGTTTCTACTTTCTTGCTAGCAAGAGACAAAGGTATATGTAGTATTACCCTGTTGAAGAAATGTTTTGTCCATACTGTTAAAAGAACTACCCAGTTTGGATTTTCACTTCTAGTACAATTTGTAATAAAAATGAAAATGCAAACTGGACAATCATTTCCGGATGGAGGGAGTATCTTATTTGTAACCTTAAACATATGATAAAACAAGCATGAAATCAGCAAGAGGTTAAGTAAAAAGAGCACTAGCGCATGGTGTGAAATCAGACATCACTTAATGTATTCAAAGGCCCCAAGCAGTTAATCTTGCTGGGATGGAGTCCCATAATGCAAGTCCACTAAGCTGAACACCTCCACCCCCACAAACAAAACAGAAAACAGAAAAAACAAAACAAACACACAAAAAGAATCCTGCCAAATACTAAAATATATGAGGAATCACTCATAGTCTTTCATTTTAAGTTTCGAAATTAACATAACTAAACTCGAAACTCCAGAATTCTTGTGCAGGGACAATGAACAACAAACCACCCAAGCTGCTATGTTGAAGTTGAACTAATCTGACTCAACACTTCACAACTGATCATCAAATTCTTTTGAACCCACCACCAGAAACATTTGTCATCCACGGGTATAAATGAGTTTAGAAGGGTGTGAATAGAGACCAAAATCACATAAGTAACAGCAATTATAAGGTTCAAAAGTGCGTTACACTATTTCATTGACTAACAAACAAAGAGGGTGTCTTTGTATGGTAACACTTTTAATAGGGTGTCTTGGATGGTAGCACTTTAATGCCCATCCAATATATTAGATGAATGAGTTGTCTCGAATTATGTTGTCTTATTAGATGATGTCAAGAGTCAGCTTTGGAAACAGAATCACTTGCACAACATACTATAAATACATACTAAACTACCACACGGATCAAAGACGGCACAAAAACTCTTGAAGCTTTGTCTCGAAGTTTAAGGGAAAATGGAATTTAACACGGCGATAAAGAAATGGAAAGGAGAGGAACTGGAGAAATTTTGAAAAGAACAGAAAATCCTGTAAGAAACTAAGGAGACTCTTTACTACAAATTTTTGTTTTTGTCACATAAAATCTAGATTATTTTCCCTCCTAATTGACTCATTGCGTTTCGCTGTTCTATGAACTTGATTCAATCAGGATGTTAAGTTCTTGTTTCTTATCATTGATGCAAGTCGTTCTACTAATAGAGTACTATAACTTCCAAAATCAAAGAAAGAATAACTATGAGAATACTTGTTATAGCAAACAGTTAAGGTATTGGCACTTATAAGATTTCTTCATGACAGACAGGAATGCTTCTCATTTCAATTTTAAACAATCAGAAAAGCATCTACGTACCCGAGGCTCTGAATACGCACAACAAGCTGTTCCCTGCCAGCCAAAGATCGCTTCTCAGCGACGTAATCCAAAAACTCGTCAATTTTAACTTCTTGACCTTGACGAGCATTCAAAAAGTCATTTAGGTCTGATATTATCTCTTGACTTGTTATTCTGAAGGCTTCCTTGATATCAGAACCCACTGGAAAATAATGTATAACAAGAGGATGTCTTACCAAAGGCCCAATTTCCAGCTCCTCAAACTTTTCCACGCCCTCATTCTCGCACAGTGCTAGTTCCAAATCGTACAGTGAAGTAATCTTCCTAACTCCAACAAAGCAATGGATAAATGTGTTTATCTGATACACGCATAGAAAAGTAAGATGCTTTGTCAAAAGAAAAGCCATATATTTCCACTTCAAGAAGCGAATTTGCTAAAATATGAAAATTATCTTAACAAGCGGATATCATCCTCGGCTTTAATTGATAATAAAGTTAGCTAATTCCTTACTGCTTGCATGATGATCTACTAATGAATGTAGCAATTCATCTCAGCAAGCATATGAAATGTGCAAGACACCGACAAAATTACACAAGAACAGAATCCAACACTAAGAATTACCACTCAAAACAATAATAATAACAGAGTTGTTCACAGAAGTCCCAAAATATAGCATTAGGGATTAATTAATAACAAAATTACCTTTGCTTCAATGGCCATAAGTTGATGGAGAGATGGGACATACTGCATTTGAAACCCAAGCGACTCCCAAGAATCTGCTTTTAACTCCATCAAAGCTGCCTGCGATACCTTCCAGGCTGAAACATTCTCGCCGGCAGCTAAGATATTCCGGCGAGCTTTTATCACAGCCTTGTCACATTTATTTAATACTTCGGGATTAATAGTATTATTAAGCTTCGGCCTAAACTGAACCGACTCCGGCGCCTGAAACTGAGGCTGCAAAACGGTAGCGGCTTGATAATTAGGATTAGTCCACTGGACGTTTCGAATTTGAGGGTGAAAGTTAGGGTTCTGTTGAAACGGAACATTCGGGACGCTATGGATGAGATTATTGGGAAGAAACGGGTTAGGATTCTGGTAGTAATGAAGATTGTTCGGATTCTGCGGGTAGTTGAATTGCTGCTGCGGCTGAAGGTGTGGAGGTGGCGGTGGCGGTGGCTGCTGCCACGGCCACTGCTGTTGAGGTAGCCCGCCGCCGCCACCCCGCGGCGTGTTCGGTGGCCGTCCGTACATGTTTATGTGTCTGCGTGGTGTTTGTTTGTATAAACAGAAAGCGAGGTCTTAATGGAAGATTTTAAGTGGAGGCGGGTTATATGCTCTTTAACGGATTGTTGATTCTTCATAAACTAGCGCAACTGCGCGCGGAGCAGTGATTCTGCCCAGTATTGTGTAAATGTATTTATTGAGTCCTCAATTGTAATATATTTTGAGTAGTGGGGTTGAATTGATTGATATTTTTAGGAGAAAACCTTGTTTACAAATATGTGAAGTTGTTTGGTTTATTATTATTATTATTATTATTCTTATTATTTGAAACAAGACTTTGTATTTATTTTACTGGAAATCGTACAACAACGATTGAAACGGAAAGAGTACAATCACTAAACTATTACAACTGCCCATATGCATAATATTCAATTCAAAACTGTTGTATTCATTATAATTCAACCTATACATATCTAGATCTATTTGGTTGAATTCTTTATTATCAGTTGGATATGTCACGTACCAAAACATGATCTCGAACATATCACTTATCTTCTGTTGAAAACTCAATTTCATAGATCTTATGAATAGATCTACGGTAGTTGCATCTCGAACAAGAACTACGATCAACAACCCAATGAATATCGATCGCCGGAAAGGCTCTAAATAACTCATAAAAATAAGATTGAATAAAACTATTTCCTCCATCTTCCCATGGTGAGAAGATGGGAGAAGAAGAATTTTTCTTTTTTAGGGTTTGGGATAGGGAGGGAGGCGGCTGAGAGAGAGGAGAAGAGGATGGAAAAATTCAGTTGGTTTGTGAGAAGTTGTTTGGTTTATTAGGCGTGAAAGGTGTCAATTTTATTTTATTATTATTTTTTTTTTTGCATTGTTTTAGTTTTTCAGTAGACGTTACTGTTAAGGTAGGAGATCTATCCTTGAAGATATCGAAATTTCTCTGTAGTTGACTTTTGGTGAAGATCAATTATTTTTTCTTTATTTTATGGGTTTTTTGTACCTGTTATTATTGAAATTAAAAATGTCTTTTATGTTATTTTGCAGATGAAGATAAGATTGGGATGGAATTTTATTTTTGTAATGTGCGCATGGATCGTGGTGGGATTGATTTAGTTAATTTGTACGATTTTCACAGAAGGGATTCTATCTCGTTTCTTCTGTAGTGAATAGAATTTCTTGTAGTACTCTTGGAAGGGGAGTTGGAATAGATGCGGTAGGAGGCCCACTGCGTACATGGTGTGCAATTCGGACGAGGGGGTGTATTACGTACTTTTTCATTACTAAATGCTTTGATAAGATAAAGGTTGCTCGTATAAAGAGGAATACAAATGGTCTTGATGTTATAATGTTGTTGCCAAATATGATATTTTGTATCCTCGTTTACTACATTGGGATGGATTCCCATGAGATGAATGTATAGAAGAATTACATAGTTGGCTTGATCAGATACTAGTAGCTCCTGCTAGTTGGTTCGAGCCCGATGGTTATTTAATGTCTTTTAATTGTGGTGTTGTATATAGTATTTATGTTTTCAGGTTATGTAGTTTTTGTGTTTGTAGAATTATTGTGGAGACTAATTTATGAAATGACAGTGTAAATCATGGTGTTTCGTAGTGCAACATAAAGATATGCGTATGTAGGTAAGCATTGTTGGCTTTGTGCTGAATTAATTTGAGATGTTTGGATGTACGGTAATGTTGATGTAATGTTGCAGTATATTCCGGACTGTTTTATGTGATGAATAAGTTAGGGAATGTTGACTTTGTGGAAGTTTATCATGGCGCAAAGAGTTGGAATCTATATATCAGTAACTTTTGTTTTAGTAATGGGTGGGAAGAATTTTGCCACGATAATATGATCGAGCTAAATGATATTATGTTGTTTCACCATGTTGGATGTTATTCCATTCAGTTTTGAAGGAAATCGGCATCACTATTGTTGGTTTGATCACATAATTTGCCGAATATTGGTATTTTTAATCTGTTAACATCAAGTAAGTTGGAACTTGGGATTACATTTGATGTCTTCCTCAGAGTATATTTGATTTGAAGATGTAATTGTAGAAGTGTTTTTACAGATCATGCCACTGGACCGAATTTAGAAGTTATATCGTTTGCGCTCACGCCGTTTTTCCAAAGTGATTTTGCTGCTTGTTCAAGCTCAAATATATACCCATCATTACTATCACGCTCTGATATGTATATAATGATGTTTTGTACTAATTTCTATAGGGTGTGATTTTTTATCTAGGAATCGATTTTGGAAGTGATTTTGCAGCCATTACCGCCTAATTGCTTGTAAGCTTTGGATTTACCAAGAAAAAGGATCGTGACACTTGTGAGTGGGAATAAAGAATTTCATATTGAAATGGAGGGAGCGAGTTTTGTGCACAATTAGCAGTTTTTTATGGAAGAATTACAGTCGCAGCATAATGATATCTTGGTTTTTATTCCGGAAGGTAGGAAGTGATTATTATGTTTAGTGTTTGATAATAAGGGTGCAGAAGAAATTTATCCGTGGTATTCCAGGTTTGTGCATATTTAGCAATAATGTAGGCTCGTTGTTTGGAGGAGAAATTGTGTCAAGTTTTTATTTCAAGTCAATATTTTGTATAAGTATGGTATTGTAATTGTAGAAAGGGGAAGGGGCTAAATTTTAGTGCAACAGATATGTTGACAAGATTGCGTCTTATCTAAGTTTTCTTCTAGTATTATGTAATGCACTCGTTGTACTAAAACGAGGGATTTTCTATTTCTAAGGTACTACATAATACAAGTTTTTTTTTTATTAGCTCTTATGGTTATGTTGGACATTTTTGCATAATGTCGGTTCTTCTGGCGTGGTGGAGTATTTTTTTTTTTTTTAATGTAAAAACAATGGTTGAGTGTGATCTCCATTTTTAGATTCAGTTAGCAGAAAATAATGGGCCTCAAGATTTATAGTATAAGATAATATATTTTTTGTTATATTGTACCAAACACAACGCCATAAGTAAGTTCTTACAATCAGTAGAAATACAGAAGTCGTAACAGAATCTATATCTATATCTATATATATAACTTAAAAATAGAAAACCAAGAGAGAGGAATCTGTGATATTTTTCCAATTGTCACGTAGGACTGGCAATTTTCTCTATTTTTTTATTTATTAAAAAGGGAAAAAAAATTATATCTTCGATTAAAAATTTTCAATTGGTATTTGTTCTGTCTTTTGGTTAATTTGAAACTCATCCAAATCAAACAACCCTTTATTTCCGACTTCCTCTATTAAAACTCAAAACCACCATTCATAAAATCTTCTCCTGATCTTAAAAAATATTATTTGTCAGTATCCTTTAGAGGATAATTATCTACCAGTATTCCCACAGGATATAATCCACTCAGTACATAGTTTGAATTTGAATACACTTGTAATAAGGTAATCTGCTAAATGATTTGGAACAAATTCCTAAAGTTACTCAACCTACATGGTAAGTATGACGGGCTAAAACTAATTTCGTGCATCCGATCTATTGCTTCCAAATCCTCCTTTCTCCTCTCCTTCTCTCTTATCATCCAATGTTACATTACCTTTTGTTATTCAGTTTGTTGTATTCTATTACACATATTGTTTTTGGATTTTAAATAAGTTTCCCCTTTTTATTGAAATTGTTTTGAGTCGGATCATTACCATTTTCTCCCTTCTATTTTTGCAGGTGAATTGATAATTGTTGGGCTTCTCCACCATAGTTGTAGTGGAACTTATTCCAAGCAAAAAATTGTAACAAAACTTACAATTATGATTACAATGGAGGATTAATGGATTATGCCTTTGAGGTCATCCAGTTGTGTAACTAATAATGAAGCTGACAACTCTTGGTTACGATATTCAAGACCCCTATCAAGTAAGTTTTATGATTGTTTTAGGTATTTAGTGAAAAATTTTGTTTTTGTTTGTGCAAAAACTAATTTTGACAACTGATTCGTTTATCGAAGGGGCTAAACGTTCTTATTCATCAACAATTACAATGGTGTAAAGAGATGCAATATCTTTTGCTCTTGCAGAAATTACAAAGATCGCTTAATATGTTGATTCAGATAAAGCCTTCGTCGTATGCGGCTACCATGTTCTCAATTATGGAAGTCATGGAAATCATTTTGATCGAGATTTGTTTTATATTTATAATAATTGAATATCTTACATGATTTGTCGGATGTTGAACATGATTGATTTGGCTTCAAGAATCGAAGCTTCAACTGGGTTAGGATTTTGAAGAAAGCCATTGTTTAAGGTGATGAACCTTCTTCCTTTTTTGAATTGTATAAAAAAACTGTAGTTATGAATGCTTAAGGATGTCCTCATATTGCGAAAACTCTGAAGGATATATATGATCAAGATGGGGAAGCTCAATGACCAATTGGGCGACTTATATCATCCCCATCATTCAGTACTTACTATGTCCTAAAATTATTGTTTGATTTGGGTTTTCATTTTAGTTCAATTTGTACTACATATAAAATTCAAATTGGATAATGATTTCGTGACGGAATGAGTAATTTTTTAAAATTGCTTAGAGAACAAATTCTGCTTTTTTTTTTTATTTGATTGACTAAGCTGTTGGCCACCCAAACATTTATATCGGAGGAAAAAACTAATATATTGCATATTGGGACTCAAATTCTAAACTTAGGAATCTCACGTTGTTTGTGCTTTTGGGAATAAAGTCGGATTATAATGCATGCAAGTCTTGAATCCATATACATACAGGAAAAAAAAGATAATTTTTGTTTCATGCCTAACTTTGATGCAAACACGTGATTGATTTTAAACAAGAGTGTTTCAATAGCATAAGAAAAGTCAGAAAATAAAAAGGAGACACAATTCAATCTGATTACTGAAATGCAAAAAGGAAAAATAAAATAAAAATAGAAACCATCTATGTATTATGTTAAAGATAAAGACAAGGATAAAACTGAATAATATTTTATGCCCAATAATGGACTTTTTAACTTTTAATTTTGGAATTAAAATTTGGTATTTTTACTTTTAGCACCTCATTAGAACTTTCCCAAAGCAAATTAGATAAAATGTCAACAAAAAATAGTGTGGTGTATATGAACATATGATAACAAATTTTTATTTGAAATTCTAACAAAATCCCACATTTGCATTTAGGATTAAAAAAAAATAAAATTAACCATATGCGATTATCAAACATTTAGGAGCTGCTACCTAAAATTTCCAATAGTAATCTTCATCCTTATTTTTTCGATTTTTTAATGAATAAAATTATTTCATTTACCATTTTCTGGTGGATTTGATTCATACGATGGGGCAAAGCGTCCTTTGAAACAACACTCAAAAATTCGTGCACTATAGCTATTCGTGTAATGTATAATGCGATATTTTTTAAATCATTATGTTTCTGCCCATTGCAAAGCACGGGCAATATCTAGTACTAAACTAAGGCAAAAACTAGAGAGAGAAAACTAAAGTTATAGAACACATGCCACATAGGATTAAATTCTATGCGGCAATTTTATAGTTTTTTAGATTTAAAAAGGCACAAAACACTAAAACTCAAACAAAAATGGCAACTGAATTGGAACTAAATCCGAACCCATAGAGGTACAGATTTTCATGAATCAAATCCCTGCAAATCCTCCCATATTCCTGATGTGAATTAGAATAAATTTCAGAAAAAGCTGCAATCTCTTCATCCTTGCTCCTCGCTCCTTTCTTTCGATTTCAAAATTTTGGAGTAGATCTCAATTTTAAATTATCCAAATTCATGATTCTATCAACGAGGTAGAAGAAGAAATTGAACAAGGGAAGAGTTTTTTCGGTTAGAAGGGTTGAAGAGTATTTTTTGAAGGTTGCGGGACAGAAGATGATAAATTTTCGGTTATTGTGATGATGACTGTGGTGGTTTTTTTGCAAGATGTAATCATATCTTTTTCTTTGACCAAGTGTCATCTTTTTTTTTGGGATACTTAAGGCAATTGTGATTACAATGGTGTAGAACAAATTAAGAAGAAAAATGGGCATTCACCTCTGAATGGCGTCGACATTCACCGTGAATCATGAATGGAAAAAGGTTCACAAAAAGTTCCCCTTCATGAAGGAAATCATATTTTTTTCTTTTCAAATGTGATGAAACCACCAGATTAAGGAGAGTAAAATTGTCCAGTTTGAATTTATTGATCATATAGGTAATGGAGTTTGATCACTTGATGCTTTGAAAGTATGATTTTTAAATTGGTTTTGAACATATTCATTTTTTCTTCCTTTTCCTTTCAAACTACATGATTGGGAGCAGACACACGAAGGATTTCAGGATAATCCAAATTATCCAGCCGATAAAATCACAAATAAGTATCTGTGCCACAATATCAAGTCATTGTAATCATGAACTCGGGTGGCCTTTTTGCAAGATGTAGTTATACCACCTAAGCTATCTTTCTTTTTCCCCCAAAGTTTTATCCTTTTTTGGGGCGTTTAAGGTAAATGTGATTATGACTATGTTCAATTATCTTTGAAGATTTTGTGCTGAGTAGAAGAATAAATTAAGAAGAAAATTGGGCATTCTCCCTCGAAAGAAAAAACTTATCCTGCTGAATTGGACACTTTGTTGGAAAGGAAATGCATTTTTACTTTTCAGGCATGACATATCTATCACTAAGAAAAGAAAACAATAGCTACGACTGTGAGTATCTAGTGTCAAGAATCACAAATGACCCATAACTTGATCTTTGAAACAATCGCAACCTTGACAAGATAAAATATGGAAGTTACACCGGATTTAATATTTCAGCTTATTAACTGCCATCAACTTTCACGTACTACATGGTTGCTTAAATGTTTGTCGTTTCCGCGAAATTCAGGGAGTGGTAGATAGAGTCGGTATTTCGATCATTGGTAGTCCATCAAACATTGAATCTAATTTAAAAATATCATATGTGTTACAAGTAAAGTTAATGTTGTTTGAGAAATCATTAATATGTTGTTTACAGATATGTACGTTGGAAATCATATTCTTTTGTATTTGGATAATTTCATCCCACTAATACACAGAACAATGAATCCACCCAGGTTGACACCGATCAGGATTACGGTGGAATGAGTGCAGTATTAACAAGCTCAGATTCAGATGAGAACGAAAGAACATTTATCGAGTCATCACAAAATATTAGGAAATTTGGAGTTAACCCCAAGCTTTCCCCAATTAAATCAGCCTGGGAAGGGAAAAGAGTGGTTGTTTTGGATGATTCGATTGTAAAAGCAACAAGTATATCAAAGATATTTCGATATATTAAGTAATTTGTTGCTAATTAGGAATTTCATTTGAGCATTGCAAGCCCACCATCACAGATCCTATTAATATGGAGTGGCCATACTGAGTGCTAATGAAGTCAATCTAATATGGTGAATGTTGAGTAGATTAGGGAACTTCGCTTGCATTTTCTTCCATTGATAGTTTGAAGAAGTTACTGGCAATAATTCGCAGAATCACTATTATTCTTGCTTTGATGGGAATTACAATATCCTACCAACCATTTAGCTAGGTAAGATGTGTTGGTCATTTTTTGGATGATGGGTTAAGTGGAAGTTTGGATTCCATTGATGAAGGTCGGACGAGTGGAACTAGAAGAAACCAAGAGGATAGGGAAGTAGATGATATAAATAGATACCAACCTTGAGTTGGGTCTTATTAGAGTTTTAAAGAAAATAATTTTAAGGTGATAAACAACACTTAGTTGATGTTTTACATTTTTTTAGGATGTTTGTTCACTTCCAGTCATTTTAGGTTTAATTATAACAACTAAAAAGTTGGTAATTTGAGACATTTTACTCAGATATGTATAGTATTTGGTTTCATGGATTCAATTCAATTTTCCATCCATATCAATTATTCAATGGTGTCTTTCATTCTTTTTTCGGCTGCAAAATAGAGGCAATAAGTTACTATGTTTCGGGCGAATATCAAGTATTAATAACTATCAAAAAAAAAAACACAAAAAACAGTAGGATCTCAAGTACTACGATGGGGTGGTTTCTAATTGGAAAAATATGCCTCAACAAACTATTTTTCACTACTACATCATCAATCAGGTTTGGTCAATTAATTTTCATTTTAAGCTATTAATCAATAAATTGAGAATTATTTGTTGTTCATCTATTCTTCCTATTCTTCATTTTGGATAAGTCGTCACCGGGGAATGCATATAACCAGAAAAATAACAAAATGGAGAATGCAACAACATAAACTAATAAAAAAAAACCATGGCGGATTTGGCTTTGGTTTTGATTTTTTTTAATAATATCATTTTGTATTTTTTATGAAATTAAAATGTCTATGAACTTCTGATAGTTGAACTTCGTTGAATTTGATTCTGTTGTGAGGAGATGGTAGCAATTTGAAGAAATTCAAAACATTATATATGTTGAAAGGAAGGAATAACAAGTTTACACATATTATACTGAATAAACCTTTCAAGCTGAGTTGATTTTGGGCAACAAAGGGAGCAATTTTGTACAAATTTTTCGCATATTACTTTGCACATCTGATATTAAATATCTTTTTAAAATGAAAAAAAATGTTGGCCATGTGTTTTGCAATCGCATTAAATAAAACTCCGGGTGGATCTTTTTCTTAAGTAAGATTATACTTGCAACACCCAATTTTTAATAATGGCTAACTCTATTGTTTTATTAAGTGTTGTTGAAGACAAAGAGTCAAAGTTTTTAATTCCGATCAAGATGATAATATTAATAACAAAAAATGTAATTTACAAATAAATGTTGAAAGGTATGCGATTATGTAATTCGAGGTTGAATCATTTAACATCTTTCCAACTTGAATTTATATTTTGTTTAAACGAAGTATTAGAATAATTCAATAACATAAAATGTGATTTTATTTATGTATATTCTATTTCAATGCCTGCAAAAAGTAGAACTCCCTCTGCCCAAAAAGTAGTCCACATTAAATTTGACATTTTTATTATAAAACAAAAATATTAACATTCAATAAAAACTATTTTCTTAGGACAATGGCAATAGTATATTTATACTTAACATTTTTTTTCACACAAAATTCATAAGTATAATATATTATGTTACTTTTTCTATTTTTTAATCTCAATTTTTGTTTGTGTGCCCCGTCCAACAAACGGGTTTAACACCTAGAACCAAATTAAACACCCTTTTTTCTTGAAGTGTAGGTCTTTCACTCTGTGATACAGAAGCTCAACTAATTTTTTTCATGCAACAAATCGAATATAGAAGTTATGAAATAGGAGAGAATTGACAGTAATTTCTTATCTCACAATGTCTCTAGCAAGCTATGAAATCGAATATCTCACTGTGAAATGGTTTTGACATTAGCTAAAATGTTTGAAAAGATATTAATCGAGAAAAAGAAAATTCTTGAATGATATTCTTTAAGGGGTAAAAAGATATTCCCACCCTCACATTTTAAAAAAAATATTTCTGACAACGAATAAGTTAAAGCAAAAATAAATTATTTGATAGATAATGAGAAACAACTAAATCAAACAAATAAATTGGTTAAAAAATCAAAATAAGGTGAGAATGCATCATATGTTAAAAAGAAAAGAATAAAATAAAAGTACTGAAAATAGGAGTCACTTCAAAACAAGGAATAAAGGTCCTGATATGTGATGAAGATAATGATGTCAATTCCAAAATTACAAATGTTGTCTACAACGAAGTATTGCTAGATATATAATCATTCAATTCGAAGTTCAAAGTTTTTCAGTTTCATATATTCTCTTTTTTGTATTTCTTAACAAATCTCTTTGCCTTAAATAAGTTATCACTGCATTCATTTGGTAAAGTGTTGATGATATTTGTGCTTTATATTTTTCAATAAAGTCATTATACATTTTATAAAAATACATATTCTATAAAACTATTAATTTTCTTTTTTCGCATGTGTTGTAATATCTATATGTGTATGTCTTCCCCGTCAATCGGATGGATCTAACACCTAGTAGGGTATAATAATTAAGTTCAGAGACATAGGAAACATTAAATAGTTCAGATAATAGATAATTTGGATGGCTAATTGTCCAACTCAATGATATGAGACAGAGAAAGTAATTGGCAATGCTTATGACGCTTTTCTGTGAGTGGCCCACGGTTATTGAAGTCATCCTCCTGAGCAATCCAGCCATGAGCTCCTTCCTTTCTGGGCATATCATTCAACCAGTCATGCTTTGCATGGTTGTTATCCTTGTAAAGCTTTTCAAATGCAAGTGCTTGACCGAATCCAACCTTGTCATTTGACAAATGTATAATAGCTGAACCTAAGTTGCCGGTGGTGTTCCATAGAGTCTGTACTTTAGTAGGGAACATACTCTTTGCAGCCAGCTCATCACGGAGAGCTTTGTTGGCTATACCGTTGCGAGAACCGTCAGCATCGACAAAGGTTAGGAGGTTAATAATAATCCCTGTGGGGGCAGAGAAAGAGTTCGTGAAGTGAATGATGGTTAAGGGGATTAATTGGCTCCGATGGAGGTGCAAGTTGGAGACTTTGTTGTCTAGAGTGGGGCACAAGTCTTGCTCGAGGAATTGAGCCAATGGCTCGTGATATGCTGTTTCTTCAAGGGTTCTCCTCGTTGAGGCAGTGGCAGCAATGGATGTCGCGTGCTGCAAAATTTCCCTGTAGCTGTATATTTGCCTCCTTCTGTTCTTGCAATAAGGACATCTGAATTCATCGTTACCTAGTTCAACACGTTGCTGTTTCATTTTGAGGTTGCGGTATGTCGACTCAGTGAGATCGTCAAGTTCAAATTTGTCAGCGTCATCATCAGAGGAGTAGTAAACTAGAAATGCAGATTGAATACATGAGCATAAGGACAACATTAGATTTTTATACTATTAATGTAAATGAAAAGCAAAGAAGTTTGTATAAAAAAGTAGAAAGGTTTGCCAATTTATTTAAAGTAATTTTAGATGGAGTAGCCAAACGAGTGAGTTAGTTTTGTTGGTTTGTATGGCAATACAAAAATTAAATATCAGCGTGAGAATAAGTTGTGGGAGGATTTGTACTATGTTTACTGAAGGAGAGAATAAGAAATGGTGCCTGGAGAATTTGCCATATCGTATTATCCTCGAAAGAATTGGCTGAAGTACCTAGAATAATAAAAAATGGAAAGGGAGAATATGGCAGTCAAAGGATGAAAGTGACGCAACTGTATGTACTGTTGTGGAAATGTAGTATCATTAATATTAGGCCTCATTGTAGAAAAAACCCCGACTGTTTTTGGCTCGTTCCAGTCTTACCCCATTTGTTAAAAACGTTACAAGTCAACCCAATTGACAAAGGAAAGTGTTTTTTAGGTACTTTCCGTGTTTATGTCAGAAGAAATCGTAATAGAAGGTAGTGTGCACATGGAGGGGTAAAATCATCTTTTGTATAATATTGGCCATCTCCTATTTTTTTGGAACGAACGGTGAGGGATGGTGCACGTAGACAAACGAGTATATTAAAACACATGTAGTAGTTGGTTGACTTGGTTCAACTTGGTTGTCATAAAGTTGAAACTTGTCTTTGACTCAAAGAGGAGAGAGAGAACTTCGACGTATCGACAAACGAGGGTTGCCAGCAGAAACTTAAGTTCCAGATGAAGTGAAGGAATCCATCAACTCTTTCCATTCGTGAATGAATACAGACTCAAGAATGGCGGGTTTGTTGCGGGGTGTGGATATTGATCTTAAATGGGTTTGCGATATGAACCCTGAACAACCAGATATCCCACTATATCGTAAGTTTTTTTCGATTGATATGCTTCGAACCAGTTAATGAATTTTGCTTCTTTCAGTAGATTGATGCATAGATCTGTATATTTTACACATGGTTATGTTATTTGATTTCGTTGCATTATGGAAGGCTGTAAACCTAATTTATAGTTATTGTATATATTGGATTTTGATGAACTGAATATAGTAATGTTGATTAATAGGTGATGAGGCATAGCAAATAACTGCCAAAATCCACCACGGGGGAAGTTTTCAGATGACTTTAGAGTTGAAGTATGTTGGTGGCAGAGTTAATTATTTTGACTTCATAGATGAACCCAATACTACCGTGGAGTCCCTGAAGTCATATTTTGATAAGGTTAGTGGCAACGGACCCCACAGATTGTTTTATAAGGATAGAAACAGGTTTGAACATTCTAGATATAAGCATTACTTGGATGTGAGGATGTTAAGGCAATGTTGGGGGACAGTACTGTTCAGAGGCTGCGGGGGATAGATGTATACAGGATTGGCCCAGGAGACGCGGGTCCTTTAATTGGCCAGTGTTCAAACATCATCGAGGAACATGGTGATTGTGCTGATGATAGTGGACATGATGAGTATGATATTGGGGATCTGGATTATGGCGATGATGACAGTGAATATTCAGGTGATTCTGATGGTGCTTCTGCTTCTGAGACTGATTCTGGTGGTTTTGAATTTGATTATGGTGGAGTTGAAAAAATTGGGATTGAAGTGGATTATGATTATGTCGATCGAGATCGTGTCGAAGATAGCAATCATGATGCAGACGACATGGATCTTGAGTACCGGGAAAAAGCTGATGCAGCAGTCTGTGTTCAATCGTGATGTTTGTTTGAAAAGGACCCAAAATTTGATGAGTGAAAGGCTATGATCATGAGGTTGATTGTGGCTCATTTGAATCGTTAAGGCCCAGAAATATATTAGAGGAATCATTTGCACATGATCCAAATAAAGGTGGAAAGAATTTAAAGAAAGGGAAGAAGGTATGTACTTGCGGATGATATGAGATATCCAGGGTTTGAGGTATGGCATGACTTTGAGGATAAGTGGCAACTTATTAAATATATCAAGCTCCATTTAGTTGCTGATAGGAGACATATAAGCTTCAAAAAGCATGACTCCAAGTATGTTAGGGCAATTTGCAAAAGGAGAGGGATGCAACTGGGTACTGTATGCAGTTAGGGTGAGTCCAAATAAACCGACATTTCAGATTAGGACTCACCAAGACAAACACACTTGTCCAACACTAGATAAAACAAGGAACTGTACTGCCTATGTGGTTGCCAAGTGGTACCTTGAAGATTCGGCAGTGGAGCCTACTCTCAGTCTTCGCTTCATTAAACATAGGGTTAAGAAGGACCATGGGTTGAAGATCTCAAGAAGCCAGGCCTGTGGGGCTAAGAAGAAGGCACTTGACATAAACAAAGGTATTATTATGGAGAATTATGCATATTTAGAGTCGTATTTGGCCGAAGTGGAAAAGACAAACCCAGGTAGTACAATGAAGCTTATGACTAAGAAAGACGATCCCCGTAGGTTCCAGAGACTGTACATGTGTTTAGCAACCTCTAAAAAGGGTTTCAACTGGGGGCCAGCTCCTTGCGGCTGTGCGATACGATGCTAATAACCAGATATATCTTGTTGCATTTGCTATTGTTGAGATAGAGAATGAAGATTCATGGAAGTTGTTTTTGGAATACTTCATTGATGACTTGGGAATAACTGATACGCTTGAATGAGTAGACCGACAAAAGGTAAAAGAATAAATTTTAAATTTGTGTTTAATAACATGCATTATCCGTTGAGAATGTAAATGAGTGTAAAGCAAGTGTATTCATGATACTGAAATTTGGTGTGGATGTTAAGGCTTTGACATGAATTATTTTTTCAGGGTCCTCTTCCAGCTGTTGCTACACTTATGAAAAATGTGTCCCACAAATACTGTGTGGAGTACTTATGGAATAATTTCAAGCTAAAGTACCCGGATTGAAAATTGAAGCCAGATTGATGAATATTGTGAAAGCAACAACTGAAGAGGAATGGAATAAGCTGATGGATGATTTGAAGAAGAAGCATGAAGGAGCATGGAGGTATCTTCATGAAATAGGAGCAAGTCACTGGTGCAGGTCACATTTCCTGACTGAGACAAAGTGTAACATGTTGGTGAACAACATATGTGAAGGCTTCAACAATGTTTTGGTAAAAGCCCCTAAACTACCAATCCTTGGGTTGTTGGAGTGGTTGAGGCGATACTTGATTGTTAAATACCGCCAAACTAGGGAGCGGATTGAAAAGTCACCATTTGAATTTGGCGACAAAATCGGGGCCCGTTTAGCGGAATCCTGAGAAGAATCTCATTGTTATGTTGCAGAATATTGTGGTGATGGTGAGTATGAGGTGAAGGGGGTAAATGAACAGGTTGTTGTGTGCCTTAGACCGAGAGATCTGAGGCTGGAAGTGGGATTTATCTGGTATTCCATACCCACATGCAATAAGGTGCATTCTTGATGACGGGAGAAAGTATGAAGATTATGTTGACATATGGTACTCAAAGGAGATGTACCTGAGAGCATAAATAGTATTTGGGGGATGAATGGTCCTAAATTTTGGAAGTGAATATCAGACCCACCCCTGTTGCCTCCAGAGTTTAGACCTATGCCAGGAAGAGTGAAGGGCAGCAGGAACAAGCGACATGATAAACCCCACCGAGTATACAAGAACCAAAAAAGTTGGTATAAGGCCAGTAGGAAGGTGGGCCCAGGACATAGTAAGTGCGGTAATTGTCAGGGTACGAGGCATAGTAGGAAAAGCTGCCCAGATTTGAAACAAGTAATTATCATGTGGAAATGTATTTTTTTTACTTTGTTGTGTGATTATGTACCATTATTTGCGATAATAATTGAAAGTTTGGAATTGTTACGCAGAATGATGGCAAGGAGAGTGAGAGGCCCTTAGATGGGCAGAAGCGAGCAGCACCCAAACAGCGGGGCAGACCGCGCAAATGGGTTGCAGTTGAACCTTTGGCTGATGATGTAATTTTTTGTACTTGTATATGTTCTTAAAAGGTTATGAGTTCTCGATTGTGTTGGTTTGAATGGCTTTATAATTGACAGACGGGTAAGCGTAAGGGAAAAAGGAGGAAAGCACTCCCGAACAGTCAATGTCAATACTAGAAACGCAGGGGGCACAAACCAAAGTCTTGTCCAGCACTAAAAATGAGATTGGAAAAGAAGAATGAAACAACCAAGCAAGACAAGGTAACCTTCGTATGAAACCTTCGTATTTTGGTTTTAAATTTAACTTTTTGTAATACTAAACTTGCATATTCTACGGAGTTAATACTTTGATTGTTATGCATAAACCTAAAGTGCATTGTGATTGTATAGAAGAATATCTTTTTTCACATTCTTGTTTGCGGACTTTGTTGTTGTTGTTCTATACGTTTAAACTAAACCGTGATGTCTTGTCCCCATCATTATGACACTAGGGTAAGGGTCAGCAACAAATTCAAAAGGGTGCTCAGCAGAAGCTGAATAAGAAACGTAAAGGAAACTTCTAGCTTCGCGATGAAGACGAAAATGAGCATGAATCCCTTATCCCGGTGTCCATTACTAACCGTAAAGGAAAAAATCAGGTTCCTGATGGAGATGAAAATGATCCCGTGGTCCTGGTGTCCAGAAGTAAGGGGAAAGGAAAAAAACAGGTTCTTGATGGAGATGAAAATGATCCCGTGGTCCTGGTGTTTAGAAGTAAGGGGGAAGGAAAATTTTAGCTTCGTGGTGAAGATGAAAATGATTCTGGTATCTCGGTGTCTACGAAAAGTAAAAAAATCAGCTTCATGATGAAGGTGAAAATGATCCTGCTATCTTGGTGTCCAGAACTAAGCGGAAAGAAATACAGATTCTTGTTGAAGATGATAATGAAGATTTTCCTGTTATCCGGGTGTCCAGAACTAGGCGGAAAGGAAAATTTCAGATTCTTGATGAATATGTAGGTGAAGATGTTCCAGTGACCACTACGGTGGACGGAGAAGCTGAAAATGTTGTTCCAGAAGCAGAAGCTTGGTCATGTGAATATTGTCAAATGACCAGTCATTAGAGAGCTAAATGCCCTGAAGAACAGTTGACACGTTGGTTAGCAAATGAAACTTCTGACGAAGAGCATGATGATGTAGCAGACAGTGCTCTTGAACAACGTGCAGACTGCTCGGGGAATTTAGACATGGATGAAAGGAAAGATCAGAATGAGGAATCATTGAAGGTCATTACTGCACCTGATGAACCAACGGTAGAGACACTCAACTTAGTTCCTGATGATTTCAAAAAAACTTGCAGTTTTTGGGATTAGTGTTCGGGATCTGGATGGATTTATGAACACTGTCATGGGGAGTTTAAACGTGGAGAGTGGGAGGAGTGTACTCGATTAAGCATGAAATGTTCATTATGCGATTGTTCTGGACACCTTGTACATGAATGTGTAGAAGCACAAGTAATGTGATTGTCATCAGTTGTTGAAAAAATTAATAGTTAAAAAAAATTAAAAAATTGGTTGTTTTCTAATATTGACAAAAGGTAACAGGAAAATAATCGTCAACTTGAGGACGCAGAGAACTCCGTCATTGCACCGGTGGTAGAGCCACAGCCCCATGAAGACCCCAATAAAGTATCACCCACAATGGAAATGGTACGCCTGTTGTATCATTTACGGTTGACCATGTTCATTTTCTTGAGAATGGTTAAACAATTATTAATGCGTTTTTACATTCATCTTGTTGTAGCTGTCAAAGCTGCCCCCTACTTGAAAGAAAATGGGCCGATGTAGCAAGGTCAGTGAAGAGAATCTAGGTCCTACTACACCCAGTCCGAGGAGATTTAGCAACAGACTTAGGGAGAGATTGTTGTGGAACAATCTTCCGTGGGGGGCCCAGGAAACTTGGCAACTTCTCCAATTGATATTGGTGTACAGGAGGAAGATCAGGCACGAAATGACCAATCCCATGCTTTTGATTTTGTTGTTTTGTAGGGTTTGGAAGTTAGTATTTTTGCAAGGGATTGGTGTAATCCTGCGCTAAACTGATTCTCCATTCATTTTATAGGAATGTGACAGTGATAGAGAAGCAGATGACATTAGGCCAGGGGGAGAGAATTCGGGACAAAACTAGGAGAACAACCCTGACAATAGCTTCAAACTGGGTGTTAGTCGGTCACGCAAGGCCAGATAACGAATGGTGAGTCTTGTTTTTTTTTTTTTTGTTTATGTAACGATCATAGTTGTGAGTTGTGACACAATATTTTATCTACGATTTGTGAGTGCAGAACATTCCGGTCAAATTTGTGCGCCGCCACGCACTTTAGGCAAAAGAAGTTGCCGGGGTTGAAGGTCCAGTGGAAGCAGCACAATTTCGGATAACAACCACAGCGGATAGCCGTGGTTCTACAGTTTAGAAGGAATTATCCTGGAACTAGGAGAACAACCCTGACAATAGCTTCAAACTGGGTGTTGCAGATATCGAATGGTGAGTCTTGTTTTTTCTTTTTTTTGTTTATGTAACGATCATATTTGTGATTTGTGACACAATATTTTATCCCCGATTTGTGAGTGCAGAACATTCTGGTCAAATTTGTGCGCCGCCATGCACTTCAGGCAAAAGAAGTTGCCGGGGTTGAAGGTCCAGTGGAAGCAGCACAATTCTGGATAACAACCACAGCGGATACCCGTGGTGCTACAGTTTAGAAGGAATTATCCTGGAATTGGAAGAAGTTCTTTGAAGACAACCTGATCCAAGAGGACCAACCTGTGCAGTTAACTCTTGACATAGCATCTAATATGCCAAATAGTAAGACGGTTGTATTCAGAATGTCCAATCTCTGAACTGGAAGAGACATTGTAACAATATGCTTGGGATCATTGTACTGTTTTGCTCATGATGGTTGTAATTTGAACATTAGGTTGCTTTCTTCAGTCGTATCTAGCAATATGGTTGGGATGATTGTACCAAAACTACCTCTTGGGAGTATTTAAATTTTCGATTTAGTTATGTGGACAACCAGTTACTAGTTATTTGCTTGACGTGTGATTTAAAATGTGACTGGAGATGTTGTTTGGATGGAGGGGGGTTTTCTTTTTATTTCAAGATGCCAAAAATGATAATGGGATTTAAACCTACAAATATATTAGCAGGCAAATAATTCCTTCCAAATGAGAGGTCATGTATCCAAAGTGGTGCACAACTGTACATTTTAGTCCCCCAAATCCCAATAGGCCAATATGAAAGGTGTAGTTATTTTTTTTATAGTTTTATTTTCCTTTTCTTTTTAAAGTGAAAAGGTGCATTTAATTTGTCCTTCCGCTTCATCTCCCACCACACAATAAATTGGAGGATATAATACAAAAGGGACCATTATTTTCCTTTTTCCGATTGTTTGTCGATTTAGGTCAACATTTTGGGACGCATCTCCAACTATCCTTTCCCAAATCTGGCCAAAACCCCAATTCTAATAAGGTACTTGCAAAAATCCCTTTCTTATTCTTCTCAACTTTGTTTCTATGCATTTTTTTTATGTAGATCTGGGACAATAATTCTGTTCTCCTGTTGTAGTAAGATGTTCTGGTCCCGAAAATTACTATGCATTCGAATATTCCATTAAAATGAACTATGTACTCCAATTATTTGCCACGTTGGGGTTTAGGATTTGAAAAATTGTTTGTTGATTTAAGAGAACTAGGAGATCTGGTGGTGTATTTTTTGATGGAATGAAAAGTTCTATATTTATAGTGCTATACTTAGCAGTTGCTCGGTTCGTATATTAATTTAGTAATGTTAATCAGTTTAGTAAAATAAACTATTTTTGTAAATATAATTGTCTTATTCATTATTCTGATTATGTGGAATGGCGTTTTTACTATATGGAATGGAGATTGTTACTGTTAATCAAGTAACTACTACTTTTTTTTTTAATATAGTTCTCTTATTATTATTTGTTATGTGGAATGTAGTTTATTGCCAAATATGAGGAAGGTCAGGATTGTATATTGTATTGTAACTGTCAGGAATAGATGAAACCTGAAACCACCTCATTAGATTTTGGACCAAATGTCATTGTCAGCCAAATAGTCAGCGATAAAGGGACCATCATGTCTTTTTTCATATTGATGAGGCAATTTTTAAAAGGGAGAAAGGGACCTTCATGTTTGTTTCATACCTTTGTTTTTTGGAGGGTTATGAGTACTTAAACAAATATTTTCTTTTTAGATGTCAAAAAGATCGCACTCCAGCTCCGAAGATGATAGTGATTTCAGTGAGTCAGAGCTTGATGAACGGAGAGATACTTTGTATAATTCTTTGGGAAATGGAGGTCAGGAAGTTCGAGTTTGTGAGAACAAATTTACTGGCCCTTTTTGTAAAGATGAAAAAATAATAGCAAGTTTGAATACGTTAACATTCTACAACATGCAAATGGGGCGGGTCGTTCGGAGAAAAATTCTATGCAAAAGCGAGCGAATCATCTTGCATTGGTGAGATATTTACAAGATGATCTCGCACCTGTCCCTCATGCAGATGATCGCGCTGAAATACCAGTACCGGCAGTTCCTCATGAAGAAGTAGTGATGGATCCCCTTCAATCTCACAATCTACAGGACCGCTTTGTTTACCCTCCAATGGCTATTGTTGTTAACCTGCCTAGAAAACTCGATTGTGGGAAGTTTGTTGGACTGAGTGACATGGTTCTGCGTGAAAAGTATTTGTTTGAAGGTTTTAATCCGACAAAAGTAGAGCCACTGTGGGATGATGAAACTGGCCACTTGGGAATAGGTATTGTTCATTTTAGAAGTGGTTCTAATGGATTAAAGGATGCTATTGCATTTCATCAGGTTTATAAGAATGATCACCATGAGAAGCAGGATTGGGAAGGGTCTGGTACTCACAATAATTCCCTATATACTTGGGTTGCTTAAGAAGATGATTACACGTCCACTAGAATCGTTGGGAGGAAACTTCGCAGGTGTGCAGCCATCAGAAGTTTCGATGAAATCCAAGGTCTCTAGGACACCTGCTCTGGTACTACTGGTTGACTGTCATGTAGTTTTTTTTTTTTTTAAATCCTGGGAAGACATGTGATGTTGTTGAATGCTTTGTTCTAGGTTAATTTGGTTTTTGAACACTGTGTTATGTACCTTATATATTTGGAGGCAGTCGGATTTTAAAAGTGTGTTGTGTTATTGAATTGTTGTGTTCTTGAAATATAGTGGTTTTTAGTCCTTTGGTTTTTGAAGTAATAGCTGAAACGACGTCGTTTTTACCATACACCATTTTAAAAGCCCAACTAAAGCAGAATCAGGGTTTCTAAAAACGGTGTCAGCGTTCTTTTATTGAATGGAAGTTGCATAAGGGTCGCTAAAAGTCTCAGGTGTTCTTGAAATGTAGTGGTTTTTTGTTCTTTGGTTTTTGAAGTAATAGCTGAAATGACGTCGTTTTTACCATACACCATTTTAAAAGCCCGACTAAAGCGAAATCAGGGTTCCTAAAAACGGTGTCAGCGTTCTTTTATTGAATGGAAGTCGCATAAGGGTCGTTGTTCAACAAGAAAAAGGGGATCAGGGTTCATCATATTCAAGGGACTTAAAAAATCTCGCGGGTCTAAATCAGGTCATTTTCGGGGTATAACATAAACGGGCCGCCCTTTCCATTTTCCATTTTTTCCTTTTTTTTTTTTTTGCTTTCTGCCTTCCTTGGTTGTTTTTCTTTTCTTTTTGTTTTTTTTTCGCCTTTTTGTCTTATTATTATTATATATATATATATATTGATTTGATAATCATTAACGAAATCAATCTAAAATTAACATTGTATCTTTTTGACAAAAAAATATCAAAAATATCAGTTTGGGAAACATTTAAAAAGGGCAAAAGTTGGTTTGACTTAAATTAGCCTTGGATTTAACTACTATCACCCCTGGATTTTTCATTAGCCTAATTAAAAAGACATGGGGACATAGTCAAAAGTACTACAATACAACCATAATGCCCAACTAAAGACATGGGACATAATCAAAATACTACAATACACCCATAATGCCCAACTATTAATGGGAACCATTCACAAAAACCATAAATCCCTAGAGTTACAAATGATTGATTTACAAGATGTGTAAGAAAAACAAGTTAGTCCCTTTGACCCATTCCAGTCCGCATAACTGACCCATGCCAATGTTCATCTCTTGGACCAACTGTTTCCAAGAATCAACGCTAGAAATCTTTCCTTTGATCCCTTGAACATCCAGCACAAAACACCATTCCTTTTCAGATTGAGCATCTTCAATCACAATTTGGGTCTTTCCTTCCTCCCCGGCTAGGTGAGTTTTGACTAATGCAGGGGGTACATGCTGCAAAATCCAACAACCATGTAATAGTATAAATATGAAACCATGACAAAACGAAAGTGAAAAAATGAATAAGTTTCTTGTACTAACCAACTGAAATGGGTAACTAAGTATGCTCTTCTTGACTTAAACTCGAACCACGGAAAAGCAGTATCCTCTTCTTGAGACCTTGGTTCTGAAAACAACATTCATAATTAGACATTCTCAACAATTGTTAAGGGGAACTACAACAAAATCATCAAGCTGTGATATTTTTTAATTCTTAATCACAGAAAAAACACACAGAATTGATTAATCATATTACCTTTATCTTTATCTTGGCGCCTGCCATTACATTTACCACTGTAGTGTACTTCTGTGGCAGTGTCATCAAATATACCAACCCTCAATTTGGCATTGTCCTTCATTGTAAAAACAATCATATAGTTTATAGCAGTTTCTCTCTCCTGTTCAAATTTCATCAAATCTTGGCCCATTAATTTAGTTCCCGTGTCTATATGGCGTAAGGTTACCTTCCATTTACCATCCCAGTAGTCTTTCAAAGTAACCACCTCACCAAGTTTATGCTCATTTCATACATAAAAGCTAATGGAATCCACTGATATACGTAAACATAAGTTTCATATAACTATATGGATTTATAAACAATTTGGGAAAAACTTGGAACTAATAAATTAATACTTACAATTCCTTCTGAAACAGGTCGATCAATAATTTTATAGAACTTGGCCGTGGGTTTTTCGGACCCCATTCCACTGGCTTTAAATTTCCACTCCCCAGATCTTTTCATAGTCTAGTTTTTAACCATCTGGTAAAGATAAAAAGATTTCTTAATCCCTCCATCAATTCACATAGAACTACAACAAAATAGAATCTCACCCGTTAAAAAGCCAATTTTCATACACCCAAGTACGCATCCCAAACAAACAAAAAAAATAAAGATACAAATTAATGTATTCAATAACAAAAAATTAACCGAAAAGTTCGAACCTTTCAAAACTAGAATCCTTGCCATTTCCAGAAAGCCCTTTAAATTCCCAGCGAATCGAAGAAGGGTAGTATACTTCTGATGTTGGAGAAAATGTGGAACTACTGTTGCTTGAGATTCAGCTATTAACTATATAACTTTTTTTTTTGAGCTGATGTGGCGATTATTTATTGGACCTCTCATTTCCTTTTGACCCCTTCATCTCTTATTGCTTGACCGTTTTCCCAAATCCATTGTTTCAACTTCCCCACTGATTCAATATATCTATTCACTCTTTAACATAGAAATGGATACATTTCTATATTGTTCTTATATTACTGACAAATTTAAACCTATTCTACAATGTAGGAAGAGCAAATTTGGAAGTGACATTATTCTACAAAAGACGTTTGGTATAAAAAAATAATTAAAATGTTGTAATGCAAAATAATAATATATATATATATTTTCCTCTTCATAATCAACTGAAATTCCTTTACTTTAACCCATTAATTCCTTTCATAGATACTAATTATGTGCACTGATCTTGGTAGTTGGTACATGATTTACTCCACAAACTGTCTACGAAGGGTTGAAGAAAATAAATGGGGTTTTCATTTGTGGAATATGGACAACCTTGCTCTTTCCACAGTGTTTGATACAACAATGATGTCGATTTGACAACAAGAAATCTCATATACCAAGAAAATATTCGAACTTTGAATACTGGTAGATTAGGGTATAGATTAGGTAGTGAAAAAATGAATAAGCCAAAAGCACCCACCATACTTTTTTTCTACTACCGCAGGACCACCTCCACCACCTAACTACACTGCCGGAATAACACCGGTCATCGACCGACCGTCATGATTTTGTCCAACTCCCGGCGATTACGTCGGAATTTAGACGGTAGCCGGCCGGTGGTATCAATCATGGTCTGGCGGCATAGCAATGTAGACTGGCAGCGGTTGTTGGTGGTGGAGGTGGCCAGGTGGTGGTTGATTAAGATGAGACAAAATTGAGACAAAAAACGCTTATTAAAATTATACTATGGCACCCTTCAAATTATATTATGGCACCCTTATGTTATATTTTAATCTCAACCCTAAAACAAATTCCAATTCTTTCAGTAATACCCTTACTAAAATATGTATAATTTTGAATTGTACCCTTCTATGTTAATATTTTTAATCTCAACTCCTATAAGAATTCCAATAGTTACAATTACATCCTTAAACCAACACTAATATTTTCACTTGAACCCAACATTAATATAACTAATATTCCAGAAATTAATACATAACCTTATCTCAATTAGTGTTTAACACGTAACAACGTTAAAATTACTACAACACTAATAGAGATGAATTATAATACCTAACAATGCTAAAATACTCCATAATGTTACTAACACTATGACAAATGATATGTGTATGGTATTAAGGATAACGTGATGCGAGTACTTAAAAGTAGTACATATGATACGAATGTGTAATAGTGTTAACAATAATATGTACATGTATAATAAATTAGTAATCATAGTACTAAGGTTCTTTCTCCATGTGTTAATCGGTTGTAATTATTGTAAAATGATGAAGATATGATGCATAATTTGGTTAATACGAGATAAAATACTTAATAAATTGATTAACTCTATTAATGATACTTGTTAAATGATACTTTTATATTGATAAAGTAATTAACTCTATTAATTAATAAAATATCGAATTATCTATATTAAATACGAACCATTACTTTTTTGAATATATGGCGTATCAAATATGAACTAAAGGAGCAAGTGGTCCGGTGATAAATTGTTTGTCTCTTTCCCTTTCAAGAGGTCTTGATTTCGAACCTTGTTGGCCACTATTTTTTTCCCACTTTGGGGGCAGTAATATTTTCCAACTTTTTTGATGCTAATTTTCCCTTCTTTTTTTTTTTATATATTCTTATAAAACTTTGATTCCTTTGAATAGAATATTTGAAATATTTATGTTGAATAAATAATTTATAACAAGTGATTAATTTAAATTTTGATACCAAAAATAGATTTAATCGAATAAGAAAACACTAACATTAGAAAAACAGGTACAACAATAATAATCACATTCTCAAATATGTTAGTTCTCCAATGGTAACATGCTGCGATGACATAACTGTGATCTAACTCAAGAAGGAGGCAAATATTTTTAACTTCTTCACTATCAGGACAATACAATTGAAGATGGAATGGATCGAGGCCCTTCAAAATGAATTATCCGGTAGGAGAAGATTTGTGGCTGAGGATGGCAGGATATACCCATTCGCCATTGTATGGACAAGTACTAGGATACACTGTTAGATCGGCAACGGGGAAATTTCTGTTTTCAAATACCTTTCTCTATCTCCAACTCTCTAAATTGTCTTCACTTGATTCCTAGACCCATATTTCAAACTGCATATCTCTCATATAAATGTATTTCTCCTCAGTTACGCACATAGTCCTTCGATAATCCAAGATCTTCACTCTAGGGAAACAATTAACAGTAATGAACATAGGAGTTGGAGGTGCATGAATTACCTGAAAAGTCTCCGTCTCCGTGTCAAATGAAACCAGCAACTCTGTAAACTCTGTTCCCATACCGCTGCGGGGATTTTCTATCAGCCAATAAACATATCTGTCCATCCAAATTCTGTCATCAACTCGAAAGGGACACACCTTGTCCACTGCTTTCCAACGCACTTGATCTATCCGCAAACAAGGCTCAAATGAAAGGGTACATCCATAGAAATATCCAAGAGTTGGAGGGAAACAGAGTGCCATAAAGGTGTATTCATTTCTAGAAGATATATACCTAAAAGCCTTTGCACAATTTTCAAGGGAGTCCATAATCTTCGGCCACTCAACTGTTGCAATCTGTCTTGTCGTGGGATTAAGAAATTTGATTTCATGTGCAAGGAAAAAGCACACCAAATCAGTTGTAATGGGTATATTCTTGTGGATATCGTCCTTCTCGTTTCTCCTCTCCGGATGAATGGTCAGATTCTTGTTACTCTGAACTTCTGTTGTAGTAGTATGTGTTACTATCATTCTCCTTTCTGCCACTGGTACCGGATTTATCCGATCTCCGTCGATTTCACTCTATTTCTCTGAGTGAAGGTCAACAAGTGCTCTGTACTTTCATTGTAGTGCATATCACGTTTTCTTGTAACAAGATCTGGCAGCTTAAGAAGTTCTTCCCAGGTCTTGCATGCACAAAGGAATCATCCGATAGACTCAATATCCAATCTACTGAAAATATTACTAATCATATTTTCATAAATGTACAATCCATCATTGCTTTCCATATTTTCTGTTTGGTCCATTTTTCAACTGTCAGAAAAAATGGAGGCAAACTCTGTTTTGCTGTTACAAAGGATATATATGAACTGATAATTCCTTTTATTGTCAGTATTTTTTTCCTATGGTAGAGGAACCGTCTAACGTAATTAATGGATATGTAATACCTGGAACCACCATTATCCTTTCTACTTCTCCCTAGTTGTCTTCATGATGAGTAACTGCTGTGGGAAAACGACTAGTTACATCAGGTCGTTTCAATGTTCAAGTACTACACATCAATCAGAGCACCTCTTGATATGCAATGGATAAGAAACAAATTCAATTGAAAACTTATTTTCTTAAAAATGACAAAATTGAAACTTATTTTTTTGAAAAGGGATCCCTTTTGAAAATGACAAAATTGAATACTAGATACACCAATTAATGTTTTACACTTTCTTTTTTGAATAACTTTTACACAGGGAAAAAATATATTCTAAATTACAGTAGTTTAGAACTATACATAAAAAATAGTGATTTGGTGTGTCCCGGTGGGGATGGTAGTATATCCCCAAAAAAAGTAGAGTCGGTGAGTCGAATGCGGGACATCCACATGTAGGTAGTTGAGACTATTACTGGCTCTACCACGCCACCTTTACCACTTCGAATATCTAGCCATAAACATAGGTTATATATTTATTCAATCGGAACTTAGCATCTCCATTAAATGGTATAACATCTCCACTAATAGTTGAATTAGAGTTGAATGTCACAGTAATTGAACGGGTGAGTTGTTGGAGTGAGTGTAGACAATATCAAAGTAGAAGCAGTATTTTGTGGACCCCACATCATGGACATTAGTTTTCTCTCTCTCCTTTTCTTTTTTTTGCTCACCATTGGATTATTTTTCCTTTTCTTTTTTTTTAATATATTTTTAGTTGTTTTTATTTATATTCTAAACAAATCTTGAAAAATGAAATCAACTTATTCAAAGTCATCTCATATGAGTTGTTTTTTAATAGTTTTTTAGTTTTTTTATTAATATTTTTATTATTCTTGTGTTTTTTTATAATTTTTTTAAATACTAAAAAAATATATATTTGGCATAAATATATTTAAATATAATAATTTTGGATAAATTATGTAGTAATAGTGGAATATAGTGGGGTAGTAATAGTGGAGTAGTTGTGGGTCCAAAATTATATAGGTGGTGAGTGTAATATTGTTGGAGTAGAAAATTGAAAAAAGAAGAAAGTGAGTGAAATTCTGACGCGGCAGTGTAGTTGAGCGTACTGTTTTTGTGCTGATGGAGATGCTTAGTCAATTGTCAGATGAATTACGAGGGGCAACCAATGGAGTGGGTTGAAAAACTTTGTGTGCAGAGTCGCAAATCCATGCATTCTCTCTCTCTTCATCCTTTTCTCTTTTGGTTTCACAGCCCCGTTTATTTTTTTTTAAAATGGTTTCGACCCCATTCATATCCCATTTTTTCTATTTTGGGATTCATGCATTTTTTTGTAGTATTATATAATAATCAAAATATTTATTTTTTATTTCGAAATTACATAATTAATATGAGCACAAGTATAATTTGTTTTTATTCCAGGGTGACATGTGTTTATTATTTATTTATAATAAATTAATAATAGGGAGCAATTTCAACAAATCCTACGTCAAGCTGATGTTTTGTTGTAATATTGATGTGGGATAGTAATAGTGGGGTAGTTATGGTCAATGTTTTGACTTTTGATACTAAAGGGCAAAGGCAGGACCCATCACGTGCGGGTACCCATCTCCAGCGTGTACTCAATTTCCTTTACAATATTACAAAGGAACATGAAGCAAACATAAAACAGAGGTACATTTTTCCTTATAATATTTAATCATACACACAGAATTGACTATTTAATCTTAATCTTATTGAATAAAAAACGTACATAATAGTCTTACTATCATTTGGAAAAGAAAAAATTATTACAAACAGACAAAAATTAGTACAAAAAATGGAAAAAAATGAAGCAGCAAATTGCTGCTCGTGAAGGGGATCATGACAAATAATTCTGATCCAGTCACGGGTGTCAAACACGGGCAAAACTGTCACGAGAATGATTGACATGTCGATCCCGTCTCCTGGCTATAAATATAAGGCAATCGGTGCAAAGGAGCCTAAAACAGAGCATGAAACAGAGCGTGCAACTGAACATAATTTGCCCATCCATACATATATATTTTGATTCATAGAGTTTTCCATATTTTCATTTGAGCACGGTTTGGGATGGATCCACAACACAGAAAAAAGACACATGAAGAATACCAGCATCAGGAAGGAAAGTGGGATCGAATTTGGTGCATGAAGTGCCATAGAGTAGTTTCTCTTTGTTTTGAATGTTTGGACCCGGTGGATGAGTGGAAGATGTTTGTCATGCATGTTTGGCAAATGAAGAGTGGAAAAAGGTTTTGTAAGATGTCATTGCACACCACGAGGAGTTTGTGCATATGAGGCAATTGGTTACTATAAGGAAGTTTGAGGGACAAAGTGCTGCTCTAGATTTTGAGCATGTAATTCCGTCTGACTTGACTTTCATTTGTAATCCAGTAACCAAGTCTTTATCCCGTGATTCAAAATAAGTAAGTAGTTTGCGTATGCATGGTAACTTGTAATAATGCATGGGTTAATATCTCATTTTTTATTCCAGAAATTTCGTATTTTTTTTCGTATTGATTATTCGGTGTTACATGTAAATGGTGATTGTTTGTACATTTCAATGGAAATATTGCTAGGATTAAGCACAACATAATAATATAAAAGGCGGTAGATGATAAAATTTAACACTTCATAGGTAACAAATTATTACGGAAAGACAGGGGAATAAAAAAAAGGGGATTAAGGGTGCATGATATATGTGGTCGTTGGCGATACATAGTACATACTGATATTTCATTTTTGAAGGTTGTAGGTTAATTGAAGAATGGGACGGTTAACGAATCGATTCAACAGATGAAGCTGGAAAATAAAAAGTGTAATTAATTGACCCACAATAAAAATTAAAACAAACAAAAACAAAAAACAATTAATGATGTTTAATAATATAAATTAAAAAGTTGTTCGTCTAACAAATCGAGACCAAAATTGATGAATTTGTTCAATGATCCATTAATGTCTCCATAAGTGTAAGCTAGGAAGAATAGTATGAAAGTTGCTAGTTAATATAGTTTGAATAATTTGTGTGAACATGGAGTATTGGATTTGTAGTAATGTACTTCACACTATTGGATTTGTTATTATTAAATTGATATGAATATTCCAAGAAAAGGATATGATCATTATTTTTTGAAAAAGAATATGATCATTGTTTTTCGAAAGGGAATATGATCATTGTTATTCATGAATGTTTCAAGAGAAAGAATATTAACATTTAGCATAATCTTCATGATACGTATAGGTAATTAACCGATACATAAATGATCGGGATGTATACCATGATATCGACAAGATAGTTAATGTTAGATACTTACACACATTACCTTTCAATAATTCAATAATAAATTAACATAAACAGATAATCCGATCGTAAATACGAAACTAAGACAAAGTCGGACTACATTGTCAGATAAAAAATATTTACAAAAAGGGAAAATTTGATCTTCAATTTTTTCTTGCCACATTACTTTAAAGGATGCAATTGAAATGACGTACATTTCTATTGGTGTGAAATGACCCAAAAATGTTAAGGGTGCCAATATGAAATTATTAGGGTGTCCGTCTGTAATTATTCTACATGACTTGGAATAACTAGAATTCTGGCGGCCAAAGTCAGTCAGCTTCCTTTCAAACTTGAAAAAATCCAATGGTCACAATTGGAATTTGTGGCGGGTTCTGAAATTTCTCAAAAACTCCCGCTTTTTTCTGACTCGTCTGTTCCCGCCCAACCCAAAACCGTCTTCTGATCCAACTGGTGAGCAAAAACAAAAAAGGAGAGAGAAAAGTAATGTCCAAGATGTGGGGTCTAATTTTTGGAGAAAAAGAAAGTCATTATACCGCACAATACTGGGCATCCACAATAATCGTATTTTTGTTGTGTTATGTCAGAACAAAAAACATAAGTGACCATTGGAGGGTGTTTAATTTTGTCAGGTGTAGCAAATATTTCAACCAATTGAATTCTGACAAAGAGTGGGGCAACACTGGGTCCGCCACTAGCCAGCCCCATTTCTCTTCTTTTTTTTTCAAATTTTCTTTTGGATGGGCCCCACAAAATGTCAGCCGCCATGCCTTATTCTTTAACTGTATTTTTTTTTTCGCCTTATTTCGTGTTTTTTCTTTAAATTCTGTTTTTTTTGTAAAAAAAAAATCAATCAATAAGAGACCATTAAAGGGTGTTTAATTCTCTTTTTTTGCCTCATGTTATTTAATTATGTTTTTATATTAAAGTCATACCTAAATGTTATCATTTTTTGTATATAAAAAATATAATTATGAAAAATAAATGTAATTACTGTTAAAAATAAATGAAAATCCTTTCAAAAAAAAGTAAAGTATTAATAGTAGGATAGATGTGGGGGTAATAATAGTTGGATATTTGTGGATCCAAAATTATATGAGTAGTGAGTGTAAAATTATTGTAGGAAAAAGTGTATAAAGTGAGAATATAGTGGAATGTTGACGTGGTAGTGCAAATTTGTCTCAATGGAATTTCTCTCTAGAATTCAACTATCAATGGAAATGCTAGAATTTTTCTCTTCATCTTCCAAAATAGCTCTTTATTCCA